TTTAACGTCCCGCTGTTCTGCTACGAACTGGGCTAATGAAGACGGGCATACGCCGTACAGTGTGCTATGAGGGAAATTTTGCCCGGACAGCGGCACTACGGCCTTCTCTTATATCGAATTCCAACTGTCAGGGGATCGTTTACGTACACGCCAATGTGTACACGGAACCTCTCCATCCAGCATCACTGACAAGGGGGAACCGCGTCGGAAAATCTGGATGAACTTTCTCGGCTAATGCAGGGATCGAACTACTCGGTCAAAGTGTTATATGCCACTAATATATCAAAGTACTAAAAATTAATTATTATTTTCCCAAAAAATTTTATTCACTAAAAAAAAAGTCTTGCCAGTTTTGCATCATAGCCGCCATCAAAATGCTAGATTTTGTTAAGATGCTGATAGATCTATAGGATTCCAAAGTGCTGAATATGAAGTTTTCAATCATAGTAATTAAACCTTCGGATAGAAAATGACAAAATGGACGTTCCAATGCTTCCCGGGCCGCTAGCTCTCAAAATAGCCATAAAACTCTTACAAAGGCGAAGATCAGCCATGTGGCAAATATACTGAGAGTTCGGGCAGTGGCATGTCGAAGAGAACTAATTTTGACTTGAATAATGCACTGCATGAAATTCTTCCAGTTGTAATTATTCTTTGAACAGTTCCCAAAATACGGAAATTCCCATCCCTTCACATACACCCTGTCATGGTTTCTACTGTATAATATCAGAAATGTATTGTTTAGCAATCGTTAATAATGTACATAATGGATTTTTCAAGAACCAATTATACACAGAGAAAACAATATCACAACCCCCCAATTTGAATATAGTGTTGGTCTTCGAGATAATGGTATCTGTTATACGTTTTGACGGGTATCCCATCTTCCTGGGCTGCCCCTGAGAAACACTGAACCAGCAAAGAAAGGCAAGAGTAGAGGATTTATTGTGATTATGTTGATATTGTCCGATTACGAACAGTTCTGTAGGATAAGGGATGGTGAGGTAACCATTCTCTTTTCAACATAGTGCTTGGCGCAAAAGGATGAGGTCACACGAGTATTAAAAGTGCTACACCTTCTCTTGAAGACAAACTGCGAGTTCTAACAGAACTTAGTTTGTTGATGTTTTCGCAATAATGGCCGAGGGGATGGTGACCCATCTGCCGTGTAATCTGCCTCATTGACACTCCAGTATTCATCATACCAAAATATTGCCATATTTTCGCTGCGTGAGTTGCACTGAACGCAGCGATTTTAAAACTTTCTCCAAACATGTATTTTTATGACTCATTGGATTAATACTTTCCTTGCGTCGTGGGTCTTTTACGTGCTGCACTGGCAGCTTGCACTGGTATGTATCGATTAAAGAATACGTAAAAAAAAATAATTTCACTTTCGCATATAATTATTTAAATCCTTATACGGCATTTAGTAACTGAACATATGATATAAAACACAAATTTATATGGAAAGCAATCACTGGGTTGCTTTCCATATAAATTTGTGTTTTATATCATATAATTATTTAGTAATAAATTTGTCTGAAGTTCATAAACATTCGAATGTTACTTTACTTTTATATCTGGCTATAATATCAACTGAAATACCAGTACTGAATCTTGTCTCTTGGTTGGACGCTACTTTAGCATACAGTGTATTTTTAATCACCGGGTTCCGTTTGACTCATGAAATTGCTGTCCCGTGGGTGAGTTTGAAGATGACGCCATCTCACTTCGTAATGGCATTCATCCTCCACAAGTCTAGTTGTCTTGCCAATTTTATGACGACTATAATGTATTATCATAATTTACAACTACAAGAATGGATATTTGCCAATAGTTTAGAATGTGATAATTAAGTAATTGCGTCATGGATATTTGAATTGAAATCTTGGAGTTGGGTAGCCAAGTGCGCTTTTGATCATAAAGTCTGTCACTGAGTTAACTGAATTGGTTTCTATCTCAAGCTAGTAGGTAACAATGTGTGTTATCACATGCCTAAGTTAAGTGCTTTACGCTCAAGGTCAATTTATTAAAATAAAATTGTTACCATATGTTAGGTTCGAAATGACATTTGTTGAGTGGAAGTTACCCCCACCCCTACTTCTCTCTCTCTCTCTCTCTCTCTCTCTCTCTCTTTCTCTCTCTCTCTCTGAATTTTAATCTCTGAGTTGAATAGTAACATTCAGACAATGTGTAGCCTCCCGGATTTGTGTGTTCCCTAGAAGTTGGATCCCTAGATGTTTCACTTAGATTGTCTAGGCCATGTTTCCCACGTCGTCTATCCAGTGAATGGTATCCTTTCCGACTATAATGGTCGAAGGAATCGCATGCCATCCCCTCCCACCAAATTATTTAATTAACCAAAATATTGGGAAGAAATGAGATTGGTGTTATTAGGTTTTGACTTGCCACTTGAATATTTAGCGCTTGGGAAATCTGTATTTTACGCGACGGAAAACGTCTGTCAGATCATGTTATCAGCATGACATTGAAAAACTGGTGGTAACAATACACTTAAGGGCAATAGACTGAATCTAATGACAATTTCCAGAAATAACTCTAATATCGCCACTAAAACAATACTAAAACACTATCATGCTACGCATTATGCTTTGAGCTGGTGGTAAAAGACCTTCAGGAACTATAATCAAGGTTATCAGATCAGAAATAATCGTTGGGGTTTTTGTTTTCATATTGGCTTACTAAGATCATCATTTTGGTTTTATTTTATTTCTTGTATGTTCTTGGGGTCTTTCGTCACCCGTGTGTAGGTTAATTGGTCTTGAAGATTGTTGACAGTGCTTACGTAGTCAGTTCTCTTTGTCCGCAGGCTTCGTGTTCTCTTTTTGTTTGGTTGTTGGGTTGTTTTGAGTACTTGGAGATGATATTGCAGATTTTGTCTCGTAGATAGTCGACTGTACCATCTGATGCTTTCTGACGTAGTCTCTTCTCAATACTGGGGATATACATGTATTCATTATGGTTTTGGGTATGGATTTGAATTCGTGTGATAGTAGAGAGGTTGGTTCACCTGTGAGGAGGGTACGTTGGCCAAGATTAACAGTTCTGGTTATATATTCTTTCCGAGGCGATTTAGCAGGTTGGTTTATCTTATTGGTTTGGTGGCTTTTTACAAGGATGTATAATGTGGCATTGGATTCAATATGTTATGAGGGTAATGCGGAGGCGACCTTCAGATAATTTGAACATACAACTTTTTCATTTCTTAAAAACGATGAGAGAATCCGCATCGAAACTTCGCCTGTGATTTATATAATTGTGTCAGGTGACATATCTGAAATGTTCTGTATAAGGTAATTCAAGTCAGTGAGCAGCTAAAAAGACTAGTATACTCACCTTCTGGATCAGAATTGGATTCTTCTGTCTAGAGTTCATGATCAGAATCATTAAGGTCATCAAGAGATAGTTCATTCTCGAGATAACTAGTTACAGTGAGCGCGGTGAGACAATTATTGTCGGGAACGGTCCGATTTACAGTTTGTACGCTGATGCTTGGGAATGACCATTTGTGATTCTTCGGAATATGTTGATGGTTTTCAGAATTCGATGTCTGGCTGGGGTAACCCACCACTACCACTGAAAAGGTCTGGTCATTGTCATTCGTATCGTACAGTGTGGGGCAGTAAGCAACGTCTGGATGGGATGGCAGGAAGTTTACCCATTATAATTGAAGTATTATCTGGTTGTGGTTATTTTCAATACATGTGAATTTGCTGAACATTTTGCAACACGTTTCGTGTGGTTAGTAATGACCTAGTGGATGGGGTGGGTGAATTAGGAACGCCTGAAGAGTCTACCCTACCACTGAAATTATCTGACAGTTCTCACAGCTAATACACGTAAAGATGCTGAATATTATGCAACAAATTCCACGCAGTTAGTAAATGCGCTGATCTGGCTTAGCTTTTGAGGGTTGGTCAATTATGGGCGTCTTGACAATTAAAATTTCCTAACATGGGAATTTACTGATTTTGTCGTTGGTCCAATATCCGAAAAGCATTTGACGTGATGAACAAATATATTCTCAGCATGCCGAAAATTTCCACAAAGGTGGATTTTAGAAGACGAATGGGTACGAAAACCAGAAAGACTGTTACTTTGTGTGCCCTAGGCCGATTTTTGTGGATTTTTTTTACTGAGGTTGTACTCAAATAGACCTTTCATAAATAGCAAGAATCATTTGTTTAGGAGCTTACTACTGAAGATTTCCCCCTTGTAAGTGATGCAGGACGGAGGGCCTGACAAGGGCAGCTGTCTAGTCCTTCAGATGTATACATTGGAATGCACGTAAAAGATCCCTTGGCAGTTGGAATTCGATATAAGAGTAGGCGATAGTGCCGCTGCCCGGGCAAAATGTCCCTCATAGCACACTGTATGGCCTATGTCCGTCTTCATTAGCCCAGCATAGGAGCAAAACAGTAGGACGTTAAACCCCATTTCATTTCATTTACTACTGAAGATTCAGATAGGATCGTTTTAATCACGTCTTGGCCCATGACCACGTGCCGAATGGAATACGTTTGTGTCGGTGGTAATGACCAAAATCAGTTTTCAGACCTAGATTTTAACCTCCGTCTCTGTCAATAATTTCTTGTTAACACTCTAGGAACTACAATTGTTATCGGATCTATTTGAATAGGTTGTTCCGTTTGCTGACAGGAAGACAGAGAAAGAGAGATGGGGTTTAACGTCCACGCGACACAAACCGGGGCATTTCGGGACTAGCATATGGTTCAATTTTATTTCAATAAAATGCTTGCGCGTAGGGTTCTTCAGCAGTGGGAAGAAATTGGAGGACCCCGAGAAAACCCAGGAGGTTGGACAGGCGACACGAATCCTTGTCATGTACAACCGGGGAATCGGACAGGAAGGCATTTGTCGCACATCCCACTGGTGATTTTGACCTAGGGCCCTGAAATCGGTAAATCCGGCCTGGTACCCACTGATAGATTAAAATAAACACAACTTGATGAATGTTTAGTTTGATAAAAATATCTTTATAACATTTAGACACTCTAAATGTAGGTATATATGTATATACAGTCCTCAATACTAGATTATCTATACACAATTATATATGATCAAATAATAGGATAGTTGTCATAAAAACTACCTTTTATTTTCAATTCAATTATGTGTTACATTGTTTATCATAGAGAAAATATACCCACTGCCTGAATACACAGAATATCAATAATCTTATTTTCAGTTTGAATTGAAATCTTCTGGATTTACTTGAATTGCGTATCTAGGATAAAATATGCAATCCCAGAATAATCATTTCAATCTATTTATCAATTTTAAATAAGCATAAATATTGGAAATATAACAGTTTATGGACTACCTTTCCGGTTTTTTGCTTAATTCAAGATGATTTTATGTCAAGATGATTTCAAAGAAACAATTTATTCTGATTACTAGTTTCTATTAGTTAATTCTTTCACAAAGTATTTCTAGAATAGATCGTAAATCACATAATTTAATTATGGTAAGTAAATTTTTACCATATAAAACAAATAGAAATATACTTTTACCACTATGAAATCCAAGTATCCATTTCATGATTTTTTTCAAACATTTGTATACAAAACTCTTAAATTATCGTTATTAACAGAAAATACCAGTTACCTTATTGAGCATCTGTGCAAAGTTATTACCATACACTTCAAACTACGTTATATTAACTATTTCAGATGCTACTTTTACTTTGCTTTTTTCTTCAAGACAATGCACATATGAAAATTAAGAATGTAACATCCATTTAATCGACCACAGTTGTCCAACAAAACATTATTTACATAGATTAATAGGTGACTATGTATTATATACAACCGTACCAGGACGATAGTCTGGAAAATAAACACACAAAATAACTAGAAATCATCATGCATAATGAATAGGTATATAGATAGATTTATTTACACAATGCCAGGATATGATTGAGCATATGAAATAAAAATGATCATATTTTCACAGATTAACAAATTTTTATTTGACATTAGTACACAATTGTAAAATTTATACAGAACCAAAAAATAAATCATGATTAACGAACAAGAAAATCTAACTGGTTAACCTCAAAATTAATTATCCTTGATTTATGATTTTTGAATATGATGAAAATGTATATAATAACAGAGCTTTAATACAAAAATACTTAAATCATATCCTTTTCATATTATTTTATAAATTAAATCTACTCAATATAAGCAAATATACAACAGTCAAAAGCGTGCAAGATTCTAAAACTAAACTCCTAAACTCAAATGACGAGAGTGTCAAATTTAATTTTATTTTTTATTCATAACCCCATGCACACGGATGAATATATCAAAACTTATTGACTGATGTAAGACAACAATGAAACTGATGATATAGATAAATGTATGTAAATATATAAGATTGATTAAAGATATATATTTTATATATTTTTTAACATGTCACAAGGACTCAATATGTACAATACAAAAAAACTTAATCAAAACAATACACAATTCTTTTAATCTTAATCTTTTTATCTTAAAAATTGTCACATATCAAGGCTTATCTGGTAGGGGGTAGAATCAGTGCAGATTTTATTTTCAACTTTTGATATATACTATAATTAATAATTGTTTATTTATAAAGAATTCAAAATCATGTTTGTTTTAATCAGTGACATCATTTAATTCTGACACCCTGTATAAAGTCAAGTATCCTCTTCCGCAAACACTGACCAGGAAATAAAAATTAAGATTAAATGAGAAAAATTTAATTCTCCCGGAGTTTATGGCATGCCATAATGAAGTTGTACCAAAGATAACTGTTGTTAACTGGTTCTGTACCCATTCTTGTGTTTATGTTATGATAATAAATATACTGAGGGTGTGTATATAGCACTTTATTGTCTTGTAATACACGTTGTTAACAAGATTCTAACACCTCTATAACTCTAGCTATTGATTTACCGCCTGTATTACCAATAGCAATCTGAAATAAATAATATGTTTATACTAGTTACTTTCATTCAGAAAATAATAAAGATTTAAAAACAAAACTCTGTTGTATGAATTTTACATTTTTGAACCAGGATCGAAACCATTATGATTTACATCTTTGTGACTGAGAGACCATTTGATGTAAGACATTACAAACTACTTGAATAATAATTTCTCCATTTTAGACTAAGGAGTGGAATAAAAAAAACCCCAAGAAATGAAACAAATGAAATACTCACTGTTAAATTCATAAAACCAAGGAATTTCTTGAGTGTTTTTATCATGGGGTCGAAGCTCTCATCGGGAAGATAACATTTTACAGAACAGACATAATCTTTATTATCACGTATAAGACAGCCTAATAATAGAGCTATATATGATGCTACAATACTGTTCTCCATATGTTTTCCTGCCTTGTGTAAAGCTGTCAATAAACAATGTTAAACAATGTGTGTTGTTTTTTTTATTCTAATTCTATTGAAATGAAATTTAAATAAAATATTTCTAAAATAAAAAATTGTTTCAAATGTTATTTATACTTTTTATTTATAAGAAACCAAAATATTTAATATGAAAAAATTAGAGTTATGTCCCCTTTGATATTTTTTTTATATATAATTTTCAGCTAGAAATACTATATAGCCAAAAAACATTCATTTAGTGATAAAAAACCAATGAGAAAATAAATCAACGGTCAAAAACTATTACTATTATTATTATTATAACAAGACTTTTATTCCTTGTTAAAATTACCCAAACCCTAAAAAAAGAGAAATGACCTTTCTTGTATGGAGAAAATGTCAGAAATATTATTACTTTTATTAGCTTAGACAATTAAGAATGGCATCACCAATCAGAGAAACAATGTAAATTTATCAGAACTGATGACTATATTTGAGTTTTATTCTTCGAAATTCAGGGTTTTTATTGAAATAAATAAAATTGAAATTACCTTTAGTAAATGTTTCATCATCATCTAACGGTGTTGGTTCAGGTGCAGTACTAGTGTTTCCATCTTCATTTAATTTAGCCTGATTAGCTGCCTTGATAGATTCGGCTGATTTTACAATCCATTGTACTCCAGCTTCTGTTTCCTGCCATTCACCACTCTTGTTATGAGCTGATGCTTCATCTTTCGTTTCTTCTTTACTTTCTCCTTCTTCTTCTTCTTCTTTATCTTCCATCATCCTAGCTGCCTCTTCTCTTTCACAGAATAACTAAACAAAAATAAATTTTATAAATAAAAATTATTTGTATTTCAATCCACTTATGCACTTTAAAATCAATCTTGATTTAGTTGTATAGATTGCCATATAAGCCAAAATATGCAATACTGTTGTAAACATACTGTTATGCAAATTTGTCATATGTATAATAATTAATATATCCTTCAACTAGAGGAATGAAGTTTTCTACTAGAACCAAATGATATGGTTTAAGTATTAGTGGTAGGACTATTTAAAATTTAATAATACACATAGTAGGACTACATGTATGAAATATTATGGACTATTTGACTGGGCAGTGGGTTGTTTTGGTGCCTGAATTTCCTTATTTTTGCCCAACAAATATCACCAAACCTTGAATTAGCTGAATATACCAAAAAGAGAATTAACATTTTTTTTTTTTGAAGGTTGAGTTTAATTCCAGATACTGAATATTAACTTAGTAGTCTTGAAGATTCGGTGTTTGAATTTGTTCAAAACGTGTCCAATGGAATAGCACTATAGAGAAGTGCAATGATTGTCCCCAATTTTTGGGCTCTGCAACTTTCCCCACCCCCGACCATTGCCACGACTAAAATCAATAACCACCTATACTACTGTGTACTGTTTTTATAGACTGATGTAATAAGTTAATAAGTCTTACCTCTACTAAACAGTTGATACCAGTTTTAATATATGTTGCACCATCTATTACTGTACTAACTTCAGATTCTATTAATATCTGTCGATTCATTTCACTGTGTTCAACCAGATTTATCAATAAACCCAAACTCTGTAATTAAATTAGCCATCTTATATCTCCTTAATAATAACATATATCATGGCAAGGGAGCCACGGTGGCTGGGTGGTTAAGACGCTGGCTCGCTAGCCTGGAGGTCGGGTGTTTGATCCCTTCATTGGCCGAGAAAGTTCATCCAGATTTTCCGGCGTGGTTCCCCCTTGTCAGTGGTGCAGGACGGAGGGCCTGACAAGGACAGCTGTCTAGTCCTTCGGATGAGACGAAAAACCGAGGTCCCGTGTATACATTGGAATGCACGTAAAAGATCCCTTGGCAGTTGGAATTCGATATAAGAGTAGGCGATAGTGCCGCTGCCCGGGCAAAATTTCCCTCATAGCACACTGTATGGCCTATGCCCGTCTTCATTAGCCCAGTATAGGAGCAGAACAGTAGGACGTTAAACCCCATTTCATTTCATTGTATACTGATAAGTTATCCAAATTTGTTTCCATTAGAAATTTCAAATTAGCAAGAGAGAGAGAGAGACAGACAGAGAGAGAGAAAGAAGAGATGGGGGTTTAAGTCCACTTGACACAAACTAGGTCATTTCGGGACTAACACATGGTTGAAACTTATGTCAATAATTTGCTTGCGCGTAGGGTTCTTTAGCAGTAGGAGGAAACCGGAGGACCTGGAGAAAACCCACTAGGTTGGACAGGCGACCCTACTCCTTGTCACGTACATCCGGGGAATCGAAACCACGCCAGTTGACTCAATGATCTACCTTATGATACACGTGCTAACCATTCGGCCATCCAACCCCCCAATTAGCAAAAGGCACAACTATTAGGTTTATGCGTGCAACACAAGGGGCAGAATTTTGCTTAATAAGCTGCAGCATTTCTGCCACTGCAACATTTACACGGCCAGACCTTAAGTTTTTTTTTTTTACCTATCCGAATGAATAGACATACTTTCCATGTCAGCCCTGTGGGCACAACCTCTGACAAGTCAAAATAAGTAAAAGTGGTCCATCTGTACATGTTTAGCATTTCTAGTTTTATGGATGACATTGTTTTTAAATACTACCTCCTTACTCTGAAAGCTTTCAAATGTTAATGATAACAAAGACAAAGTACATTGGCTACTTGCCAAGGGTTATACAGGGATTTTGTCACAAACTCAAACAGAAACCACAACATCTTGAACTCAGTGGACAAACATATATATATGGAAGACAGATGGATGTGATCAATTTGACGATAAAAATTAAAACCATTCGTGGGAAGTAAAATATACTTATCAAAACCAAAATTAAAACCATTCACTGAAAATAAAATATACTTACCAGAACTAATAAGTCAAATTTCTGTTCTTGAGGTATATATTGTGGAGTACTGAGTATACACTCTAATACAACATTTATCACTGCATCTTGTTCCCCAACTTTAGCACTTCCAATATCTACAAATACAGAACCACTTAAATAAACCAGCTATAAGAAAGATAGGTATCCAGGCAATGAAACATTAACATTATAAAGCTTTATTATCTGACTATAACAAAACATTTTATACTAACTGTTAAATTGTCTGAAAATATTAACTACATGTATTGTAACCACGGATGGTAAGGTGATAAAGGGACATAATCCATGACCGTATGTTCAGAAGTAGCTGAAAATCAATAGGATTCTTCAGCTCACACTGCCTCCATGGCAGTTTTAGATAACCAAGGTGCATCATACTGTACATAATTTTCAGAAATTTTCTGAAAATCAATAGGCTTGTTCCCTGTGCAATAATAGATAACAACTAAAATGACGTATGAGATTAACGATTTAACCTACCGTTGTCATGAGTTACATTCAGCAATACTCGTAAAACGGCCAACATACAGTTAAACACCACCCAACCAATTGATTCTTTCACTTCTTTATTTTCTTCAGGATCTTCCATAACAGGATGGTATGGTAAACATTCTACACAGCCTTTTAAAGCACTACAAATTATACAGTAGTCATTAGAATTCAAACATCATGATCTTATTAATAATGGAGTTAATGTTAACTACCCTGTCTTAGTTTCAGTATTCTATAGATTATTGATCACAACACTGAAGCTATACATTCTGTTATTACAAGTCAATAGTACGGATTACATTTCCTAATCCATCCATGTCACCAACATTCAAGGATAAACTATTGTAAAGCAGAGCTATGTTTCTGTTATCTTAGCAACTAGACAAAAATTTCTTCGGATTTTTCAGTCTTTTTTCTTGTCAATGAGAAAGGTGATTAGTTGTTCGGATGGACAAAACACTGAGCTTCCATCTACCATGGCAGTCTGTTAAAGCCACCTTCCCCAACCACAACTTACAATCAGAACAATTTGTAAGCCATTTCTTTTCATTTAGTTTGAGTGCCTATCTATATTGACTTCATGGTGCACCAATTTCATGGTGTTCATGGTGCATCAATTTCATTATGTTCATGGTGGATCAATTTCATGATGTTCATGGTGCATCAATTTAATGGTGTTCATGGTACATCAAATTCATGGTGTTAATGGCACGTTAATTTCACTGTGTTCATGATGTATTAATTTCACAGTATTCATGGCACATTATTTTCATGGGGTTTCTGGTGCTTTAATTTCACAGTATTCAGAGTGTATTAATTTCATAGTGTTCATAGTGTTAATTAATTTCATGGTGTTCATGGTACAACAATTTCATGGTTTTCATAGTGCATTAATTTCATGGTATTCATGGCACCTTAATTTCATGGGATTCATGATCCAAATTAATTTCATGAGATTCATGGTGCACCAATTTCAGAGTGTTCATTCATGTTGCATCAATTCCATGGTGCCCATGGTGCAATAATTTCATTGTGGTCATGGCACATTAATTTCATGTTGCATTAATATCACAGTATGCATGACACATTAATTTCATGGTGTTCATGTTACTTTAATTTCACAGTATTAATAGTGAATTCATTTTATGGTGTTTATGGTACAACTATTTCATGGTTTTCATAGTGCATTAATTTCATGGTTTTCATGGTGCATCAATTTCTTGTTTTACACAGATCATCTATATTGTGGTTTTAATGATAGGAATGCATGTTATCAACTCATACTATGCATAACTATGAAAACTGGATCAGTATTATATTTAAACTGTCTGTACGTCAAATATGTCTGAATTATGACTGACATGGTTGTTATTATAATATCTATTTTTATAGTATGGTTTTATAACTCACCAACATAATGATGTAACAAGTATAGCTGATTTATAATCTATTAAATAACTCTGATTATCTGTGTTCATAAAGGTTATCTGAAACAGATGACATAACACTATTAATTATATAACATCTTTCCACAACATTAATACATTTCTATTTATACTCTTTACACTACAGATAATATTCTGTATCTTGTTTAACATTTTATTAATTCATTACATCAACACTAACTGCTTATTATTTCTATTACAAATATTGTTTACAGTATTAGACATTTTATATTTATTGATTGTAGAAATTTTTCAATTTTAAGGTAAGATGCAAATTATTAATTAGATATTTATTCACATGACATGCCCATATTCAATTCTCTAGACCATCAGATAGCCATGACATTGAATAGATTGAAACAATTGCACCATTTGATAATTTAATGTAAAAGAAATGAATACTAAAGACTTTGTTTACTATCCCAGCAAGAGTACTTGACAATCACGACTATCTTGTCTAAACTTAAAACACTCATAGAACACTCTCAGAATAAAGTAAACGGACTGAAATTTTCAACATATTCATTTTTCATTATCTATTTTTGAACTAGTATAGCAAAGCATCTTTAATCTGAGAGTGATTGACAGATAAACATAAATATTATATATATTATATAACTTGATACATGTACTTACATTTTCTAAGACTCTTAGACATCTATCTAATTTTTTGAGTACTGGTAATGTTTTAACTATATCCCTCTGTAAAACATCTTCAGCACATTTAGAGCATGATGCAACTAAAAAAAAAACATTTTACTTGTTTATAACATTATTTTAAAGTCTCAGCAACAGTAGCCCCAGCAAATGTTTAAATTTTTGGCAACCTTCAATGTTTATTTAATGTCTAGGTTTGGAAACTACTTCCAAGACAAAATCAATAGTTTTGCAAGGAATCAAATGTGATATGACTATATACATGTACATTTGTATATAATTAAGAACTGGGTTGATGTTCAAGATTACAACAATATTCAAGGCCATACTGTGTATATTATTAGTTTCTTGATATTCAAGGTCACATATAATTAGTTACTTGATATTCAAGGCCACATATAATTAGGTACTTGATTTTCAAGGTCAAATATACATGTATAGATACTTAATCGTCTTAATGTCATTTATATTCAGGTATTTGATATCCAAGGTCACTAGTGTTGAAACTACTATTCGGATATTCGTTAACGGATACAAAATAAGGGTTATCCGTTTACTATTCGTTACAATATATTCTGACATTCCGTATGCTCTATATTTAGCCATTTTTACGTCTGATTACTTTGAAATTGTCCCCAATGCAATTGATCACGTACGCAGCTCTGAGCATAAATGTCAACATTATGCGTATTATTTAGTGATAGTAACTAATAAAATTATTAATGCAGTGCAACAAAAACAGTAGTCTAAATAAAAAAAAATATTCATTCATTCCCTGCGCTAGTTTACGGCATACGAGTTTAGACCGTGTTTTGACTTCCCACAATGAAATTTATTCATAACGACCTAGGTCACGAATATTCCCACTCACTGATTGGTTCAATAGTAGTAGATTATCAGAATGAGGCAAACGACCTTGCCGAATAAATGGCACATGGTTTTATTTTACTTTTTTCATTCGTGTTGATTGAGCAAAATGATAAGTGGGAGGGTGCGGATAACAGGAGTAGTTATACTATACAAATTCCTTCACCTCATTGATTTTTTGGGATGTCAGACCGATGTCATAGATAATCTTAATAATTACGGCTAAAGGTAGGCACGTTTTTTTCTTCGCGGCTCAAACAATTTGCAAATCGAAAGTACGATTTCATACTCGCCATACACAGACACTCATAAACATTGAAACAAGTAAGAAATTATGAGTACCGGTATATGAACTTTTGATGTAATTTTGTTCAAGAATTTCACGTCTCTGAATTATCCGAATAGTATTCGGATAGCCAACAAAAGTATTCGGATCACAAATCTCGATCCAATTTTCAACACTAGAGGTCACATGTAATAAATTATGACCAAAATCAAGGTCACACATTGAATAATTGATAAGCAAAATCGAAAACAATTGGGCACTTGATTTTCAAGGTCATACATGTATATAATTGGGTAATTAATGTCATTTATATTCGGGTACTTGATATTCAAGATTGTATAATTAGGCCACACAAAACACAATTTTTATTTTTTGTCAAGGAATCACTACTGGGCTAAATGATTTACATCATCATGTTTATAGGAATGTATGATTATCCAGTATCATTTATGACTGTCAACATTTATCAGGGTTGTGTACTTGATAAATGAGTCTATGCCACATTTCTGGATTCATTCAAATTTTTATAGTTATTCCCTGTAACTGGGGCAAACATTTACATGCAGTAATAATTTTTTTTTTTTTATAAAATAAAACAGGTTATGTGACCATTTTAAAATGACACAGGATTATATGAGAACAAGAATATTTTTTTTGATATGGCCTTCGGTACTTGACATCCAAGACTATTAAAGTTTCATCAAATTGCAACACATCAAAAAACAGGTATACATGTACTTGTGTTGTTTTTGTAAAACTATGTTTATAATAATATACATGTATACTTACTTGTGTCTACAACATGATCTAACGCTCCCTGAGATCTCAACTCTTCCTTAAACCATTCACCAGCTTTACGAGACGTTAAACTTAATAATGATTCCATAGCTAAATTACCAGTCTGAAACAAAACATTGACAGTAATTATAGATAACATAGTTTCACAAGTGTTTCAAATGTTTAAAGGATAATGACACATATCATTGACTAAAGCATACTTTTAAATAAACTTGTACTTATTGTAAATGTAACAAAATTGGTAAGGTATATACTTCCAAAAACCAAGGCTTTTACCAAAACCTATAATTTTGAACATTGCCACTGACAAGACATGACAATAAAACAAGACCATACAGTCAAAGATTGTGGTATGTAAATTTGAAATGCTTAACTACACAATGTATATTACAGAGAGAAAGTGAAATGGGGTTTAGTGTTCACTCGACACAAACTCAGTCATTTCGGGACTAACATGATATGGTTCAATTTTATTTCAATAATTCGCTTTTGCGTAGGGGTCTTTAGCAGTGGGAGGAAACTGGAGAACCCCCGAGAAAACCCACGGGCGACCCAACTCCTTGTCACGTACAACCGGGGAATCGAAACCACACCAGTTGTGTCCGTGACAGAACATTATGATACATCACGATCACGCACATGCTAACCATTCGGCCATCCACCCTACCCTGTATATTACAGAGTACCAGATACAATGTAGTAATAACTACATGTACCAGAAGATGATAATATACTCACAGTTAAACTATCTAAATCCAGAGTTTTTGCTAAACCAGCTTTCTGTAACTGTTCACATAACTCTTTAATTTTTAGTTTATTTTTTTCTAATTCCTTGCGTGTATTGGAGTCGTATTGTTTTTCTCTTTCTTTGTCGCTGTCCACTTCAAGAAGTCTTAACATGAGATTAAGACTTTCAGTGTCCAGATCCATATTAAGGCGATCTTGACTCAACATAAACATAATGGTAGCTGTACATAATGATAAACTCTGAAATACAGATCAAATTCAAATACAATGATAAGCTGCCAGGCAACACTATGAAAATGAAATGGAATAGGGTTTAACGTCCTACTGTTCTGCTCCGATACTGGGCTAATGAAGACGGGCATAGGCCATACAGTGTACTATGAGGGAAATTTTGCCCGGACAGCGGCACTATCGCCTACTCTTATATCGAATTCCAACTGCCAAAGGATCTTTTACGTGCATTCCAATAATGTATACACGGGACCTCGGTTTTTCGTCTCATCCGAAGGACTAGACAGCTGTCAATGTCAGGCGTTCCGTTCTGCAACACTATGAAGTGTGATCAGAATTTCATTATTTAATTCAAACAACTGTCCTATAAATATTGCCCTAGTTTTTTAAATCTCAATATCGATGTCTAACATCTTTTAAATATGAGCTATGAAATAATTAAAACACAAATTCCTCACAATTTGGAAGTTATCAAGAGATGTAACTGGACACGTAATAATCAGAAATAGTTGAAATTTGATCTTTTAAATTACTCTTGTTGATCTAAACAATAATCGTAACTTGCAAAAAGATCAATTCTTTTATAATGAATATTGACCGAATCTGAAACCAAATTAGCTTAGTTTGAGTCACAAGTAATGTCAACAGTATTCAGTTTCAAGTGGTATACAAAAAAGATATTAAGAGCATTCGTATCGAAATGGAGAATTGCAAAAGAATAAAAATGTTTAAAGATTAATGAAATGTAAGTGATGCCATAGTTTTATAACATTTGGTAATTCTTTCAAAGAAAAAAGATGGATATTATCTGATAAATGAATAATTGAATAGTACTCACTGGATCAATACAAGCATCATGTAACATAGTGAATATTTTAGTTACTGTTCCATGAGCTCGAAGATGCATTCGGAATGCTGGCAGCTTACATTTCTGAGCTAACTGAATACAACTGGAAGTAAAATACAAACTAGTCAGCTGAATGTAGATTATAGAGAGAGAAAGGGAAATGGGGTTTAACGTCCACTCAACACAAACCAAGTCATTTCGGGACTAACAAATAGTTCAATTCTATTTCAATAACTCGCTTGCACGTAGGGATCTTTAGACGTGGGAGGAAACCAAAGGACCCAGAGAAAACCCACAAGGTTGGGCAGACGACCATACTCTTTGTCACGTATAACTGGAGAATCAAAACCACGGCAGTTGACTCAATGACAGATCTTATGATACAACACGCACGCACTAACCAATAGGTTTTTTTACCCATCTGACGGGTTAAGCAACACCCTCTTCATTGTCTCAAAGGTGCTAACTTTGACAAAACCCCTGACAAGTGGAAACCAGTCTCCATCAAAGTAGGGTGGCTTGTGCCAACATTCAAAAGTATTTACATTTATTTTGCTAGCAACATAGCAATAGAACACAGCTTGCAATATAAATATTTCTTCACATACCTAATACATCTAATAGAGATAGGCTCTGTATTTTTTAAGCTATCTAATAAATATTCCACATCATCCGTAAACTCCTGTGTTTCACCCGATTCTTGCATTTCAAATGATTCTTTGACATTACGTACGACCGTAAATAACTGAAAACATAAACAAATACGATTTGGTCTATTAATTATTAAGGATGCAATAAAACTAAAAGGAACAAAGGTGTGTGGGTGGACAGGTGTGAAATTATAATTCATTATATAAAGATAGGTCGCCTGGAAACAAATCATATGGCCACAACTGCTACATGTACATGTAGGTAACACCATGCAGTCGATAAAGGATGTCACATAATATTTAGTATTTAGAGCATCCAGAAGATTTTTTTCAAATTGATCAACGGTGATAACAATGACAAAAATTATCAGAAATTGCGCTGCAAATTTAAGTCTCAACTATTAAGGCACAAATATAGAAATTAAATGACATTATTTATGTCAGAATGTATTGTGAAATAACTGTAAAAAATTGAATTAAAATTTAATGTATATTACCTGTTTATGTTCTTTATTAACTTTCAGAGATGTATAAGCTTCTTCTCCTTCTTGTGTTGGCCAGTGTACATTACGTTTCATTTTTAATGTTGGTACATCATCAACAACATCATTATCTACTGCCTTTCTCTTCTGTTTATTAGTTTTAACCAATACAATAGTACCCTGATATAACCATTTAAAACATCAGTTAATCAACTAATTATAGACAAATCACAGTATGGAGTCAATCAAAGAAAGTATAATATAATCAGTTTGGACTTGGAATCAGTGATATAATCAGTTTGATGTCAATCAAAGAAAGAATGATATAATCAGTGGAATCAATCAAAGAGAGAGAGCGGGATAGAGAGAGAAGGGGTTTTAAGATGGGTTTCCGCGTACAAACTGGGTGATTTAATGGTATATATGGACTAAAAACATATTCAAACTAATTAATTTTTCATAATTTTGCTTCAAATCCTTCTCAAACATTGTAATTGCGAAGGAATGTCCTGTTATAAAAATTCGATCAAACCAAGTCACGTTTACGTCACCTGACTTACCTCTCTTGGAAGTCAGAGGAGAATTCATTGCATACATAAAACGATGTTGTCTTTAATCGCTTACTATTTATTACAAATATCGAATTATAATTAAATTCACGGATTATCCACTACCCGCCTCTTTTTCCATCATTTTTATCTCAGAAAGTGTTGTACATCTAACTCTTCATAAAGTTTATCAACTTGTACATCAAGCGCTCCAAGAGTGTTTTTCGGGGAATCCAGTATTTTTCTAGTTAGATTGGATATCTCTACTTTCCATATATACCAAAATTACCATACTTTTATTGGAAATAACCACCCAATAAATACTTTTCTGGGAACCCATCTTTAAGGTCAACTTCACAAAAACTAGGTCATTTCAGGACTAAGACATGGTTCAGTTTTATTTCAATAATTCGCTTGCACATAGTGGTCTTTAGCAGAGGGAGGAAACTGGAGATCCCAGAGAAAACCAATAAGGTTGGACAGGCGACCCTACTACTCCTTGTCACATACAACCGATATGATACATGTATAATCAGTGTGGAGTCAATCACAGAAAGCATGTTTTAATCAGTATGGAGCCACTCACATAAAGCATGATCGAGGATGATGGCTTCATCTAATCAATCAATATCGAGTCAATCAAAGAAAACATGTTATAATCAGTATTGAGTCAATCACATAAAGCATGATCTATCAGTAATCAGTATTGGGGAAGATAGTATCGACAATCAGAGAAAGTATCATATAATCAGCATCGACAATCACTGAAAGCATTATTCATCAAAAGGAAATGGTACATTTTTAAATTTCATATGACCTACCTGTGCCTCTGGAGACAAATCCTCATTCTGCCATGACCGAGCATTGTAAATAGCTTTTGACGGTGACTGCAAAATGAAAATAATCATATATCAGTTATTCTAAGAGATCTACATTAGTAAATTATTAAAAAATACAAAGCATGCTAAATTGGTACTTTCTCAATCCCTAGCCTTTGTCATGGCATTTTATACGAAAATTTAGAAATAGTTCAATATGGTAGGGGGTTTTGCTTTTTATTTCCTAACATTTCTAATTCTAGCTTAACTAATGGATGTACATATAGGATTAAGAAAATAATGCTGATGTAGGCTGTTGTAAATTAATAAAAGTTGAAATTTCTGTGTTAGAATGTGTATACATTACATGTACATGTATGTAGGGCAGGGAAAAGTATAGGATCAGTATTTTGACTTTCAGTTTACCAGGTCATGTCTAATTAACATGCTAAAGAATTTTATTTGTCTAACTGATCTGAACAGACAGAACAGTGAATACAAATTTGAAAACGATAACTTTCGTCTCTAGAGAATGTACACAAGATTGTACAAAGTGAAAAGGTACAATGTATAGCCTGGCCTCAAGTAGATTGGATGATTTTACCAAGAGATCAAGGACAATAACTCAGATATCACTAAAGTTCAAAAGCTTCTTATTTTAACATCTCATAAATTCTGATAAGATCAGGTAATAGATGTAATTTCTAGTGTACAAGTATGACAGCACTATACAACAAAATCTTAAAGTGGTCACGTAAAATATTTAAAAAAAGTAAAACAGTAAAAGAACAGGAAATACAATTGACGATAAATGTCATAGAATCCAGGCAGAATATTCATTTAGTGAAATCTACATGTACATGTACTGAACACTTAATGCTTAAATTTAGTAACCAAGTTAACAACTTACTTGTGTGGGTTGATTGGTATTTTTCTTGGAATTGCGTGTTTTAAATATTTTCCTTGTTTTGGTCAACGGTTGCACATCACTAGAAGGAGAGTCCACACTTTCAAGATTCACATTCTCACGAGAATCTTCTGATGCATTTCCTTGAGAATCTACGTCAGATTCATCTACATTGTTTAATTTTTGAGAATTATTTCTCGAGTCAACACTATTATTGTCAATGTCCGAGGAGTCCTGAATAGGAAGGGTGTCACTTCGAATTAAAACTGGCGGTTCATCTGGATTATTGACGGCAACAGAATCAACCATTAACACATCATCCTCACTCATAATATACACATATTCCATAGTTTGTTCAACTTTAACCTCAGTTTGTTTGGGTGCTCTAGATTTAAAGATCCTGTAACCACTTTTCACAGGCTTGACTGCTGAAGGCATAGGTTCATCTTCCTGGGACACAGGAGCTGAAGAAGTGTCCTCTTCATTTGGAGCTTCTTCCTCTTGATATGAATTATCATTTTTTGCTCCCCTAGAGCGAAATATACGATTTCCTCTTGAAGGTACCACAGGTTTTAATGAAGAGGCTGGAATCGGTTTGGATTTTGTACTGATGTCAAATATTTCATCATTGTCTACAGCAGGTGGGTCTGCAGATGCCTGCGAACTCGATTGAGATGTGGATTGTACAGATGGACTAGTTTGTGGGAAGTCACTTTTTGATGATGTTTCAGCGCTATCTCCATATTTCAAGGGACTTGAATCTTCTTGTGAAGTAGAAGAATCAGTAACACCAACAACTACATTTGGTTTATATCCTCTTGGAAATTCGCGTCCTGGCTGACCAAAATATTTAGTTTGGACATCACCTTCAGCTTTGGATACAACTTTTGGCTTGCAGACAACCACCATAGTTGTTTTGTCACCACTTTTAAACTGGCTTTTAGAGACAACATTGCTGTGAGCAAATCCTCCGACATCAGCATTGGGTTTATTCTTTTGATTTGAGTCCCACATTCTTTTAAAGTTCTCTAACAGTTTTGGATTGTTATATTTGGAATTTCGAACTTTCTTAGGAACTTCATAATTACTCCAGCCTGCCATTGTTTTGTCAACTTTTTTAGCTTTACCATATGTTCTTATAGGTACTTCCTGTTTGACCTCCTCTTCTGATGCATCATAGGGACTTAGTGTGGGAGGTGCATCAAGTTGACTAAAACCAAATGCATCATGCTCAGATAGGGCTTCTGATGGGGCTTCAGAAGAAGGCTGTGATTCTGATTCTAAAGTAGGAGGCGTTGTAAGACTAACAAGAGTAATAGAATCAGATGATTTAATAATACTTGGCGTTCGTGTGTATGGGTTTCTGTTAATAACAGCGGTCGTCTTGGAATATGTTTTTGTTGAACGACGGATGTTTTCTGTGGAGAATGCCACCTGTACATCACTTTCATCTTCCTGTGATTTCAAGATTACTGATGCTGCTGGTGATGAGGAGGTATAAGGATCATCTTCAGGTTGTGTCGTTACAGCAATCCGTGTGGCAGGTAGTTTTGTATTCTTAGAAGTGGGTCCTCGTGCTACGCTAGATTTTCCCTTTCTGGGTGAATCTCCTTCAGATTCAAAGCAAAACACATCTTCAGATGAGAGATCTACTTTTGGTGCTACAGCTTTACGTGGTGACGAGGAAGCCGATGAAGATGCAGAAGCTGCTTGCATCTTCTTTCTCGGACTTTCTCTGACGGCTATAAAGTTTGTCTTTCCCCATTTTGTACTGGTAGAAGCTGCTTTAATGGGGGCAGGTTTATTACTGATCAGTTCATCAAAGGCACGACTAGCTGGACTCTCTTTACCTCGACCATAGGTACGACCACCAGTTCTTCTTAATGTACTACTGCTCATTATGAAGGATACTGAAACAACAATAAGTATACAATAAACTAATTATTGTGATGTTTACATCTACTGTTTATTATAATGTTCCCCTTGTAATTTCTACATATCTAAATCAGCAGATACAACATGTAATATTTCCACATGATTATGAAAATGAAGAAATAATAATAATATTTAGTTACATTTATATTGGTAAGTATTCACTCATTAAAAACAGCAATTACTGCATTCTATTTTCTCAGGCAAACTTCAAATCCTGTAAGAAAAATAATAATTAATGATCACAAAATACAATGTAGGACCGAATACTGATGGTAAAAATCCTATGGCGATTTTGCTTCAAGCTGGAATGGAGCATACTACATGTACTGTATGTTCACTCTTGACTATGAAATTGGTAATTTTGCTATACCTAAATGAATTATTTTGTTTGCTTAGAAACTACAACAATCTTTTCTTTAGCTCATAAGTGATAAAAGCATTACGTGTCCACCAAAATAAGCCTACCATTCAAACTATGGTTTTAACTGGCTTAATTTTATTGGTGAGCCGCTGTAGCTCAGTGGGTATTCTGCTGGGTCACTAACCAGGGTGTCTGGGGTTTGACCCTGTGTTGATCGAGAAATTTCCCTGGTCTCCCCTTGTCAGTAGGTGCAGGATGAAGGACTTGGCAACAGCAGAGTTTAGTCATTCGATTTGGACAAAAAACTGAGGTAGTGTGTAGCCCTAGTCGTGTGTACACACTGGCGTGTACAGAGTAAAAGAAACCTTGACAGTTGGAATTTGAGACAAGAGTAGGTTGTAGCGCCGTGGATCAGGCACTATACACCCATCTTCATTAGCCCAGACATTAAATTTTCTTTCATTTCATCTTAATGGTGTGATGTAAAAATGAAATTTAGAGGCAAATTAGACCTATACATGTACTGGTATATCAGCAGATTAAATGAAATTTGACATCCAGATAAAAATTCACAGAATAAACAACACCAACAAAAATATGCTTTTATCTTTTGGCAGTGACTGACCTACATCAATTTTATCCATCTGTCATTTTAAGTGACCTAATCTTTTCAATGCCAGGTTAGTCTTTACTATATGTTTGATTGGCTGTGTATGTCAATAATATATGTGTCTTCAATGCAAATAGCGAGACACAAACTAGGTTACTCGATACAAACTAGGTCATTTTGGGACTAACACACGGTTCAATTTTATATCAATAATTAGCTTTAGCAGTTGGAGGAAACCGGAGGACCCGGAGAAAACCCATGAGGTTGGACAGGCGACCCTACTCCACGTCACGTACAACCGGGGAATCGAAACCCCACCAGTTGGATCAATTCCAGACCGTATGATACAGTGCGTGCGTACTAACCATTCGACCATCCAGCCCCCCGGTTATTTCAGGACTAAAATACAGTGTATGGTACAATTTTATTCCAATAATTCACTTGCAGTTAGGAGAAACCGGACGATTCGCAAAAAAAAAAACCCTGATCACTCGACCACCGTCAATGGAGTAACATTAAAGTAGCTAAGTCTTTAACTCTATATCATAGAAAGTCTTTGATATTGAAAACACAAATTTTTTGTCAATTTAAATCAACATTTATGTTGTGATCATACCGGTAAAAAATGGGCTTCTGATATCCAATATTTAAGACAAAAAAAACCACTTCCCATAATGCATTTTAGTGCCATTTGTAACAAGGGACTCGAAGAACAGGCTAGACATATTCCACAAGTCATATCAAACGGTGATGTCATATTCATATCTGGAGAGCATGCGCAATAAATGCTCTTTGTGTAGACTGGTATAACCAGACGCTAGAGATTGCCATTCAATTGAGACGTCTGGCGTATTTCGCCGAACATAACTGATTAGAAATTACAGTAAAAACAGAAACGATTGAATGTAAATCAGTTTATACATTTATAAAACATATTTGTATATGCGTTGAGACTCATTTGAGCCAATTTCTAGGTCCCAAATATTAGCGATTTAGCTTCTTTAAGTCAGTCAATGTACTTATCCAGGCAAGATATGAAATTGAGCTTTTTTTTTTCTCCTTGTCTAGTAATGATGTTACAGATCCTGGTTATACCGAGGTAGATTTTGGATACCCATGGGAGTTTCAGCTTGCTGGTAGAGTACTGTGACTATTAATGAATTAAATGGGGTTTAACTACTACTGTTCAGCACCAACTGAGCTAAAGAAGACAGGATTATGCCATGCAGTGTTCTATGAGTGACATTTTGCCCGGACAGCAATTGAATTCTAACTGTCAAGGTTTTTTTTTTTTTATATCTGGTTAAATCAGTCTGATTAAAATACAGATCTTTATTTCGTTTCGTTTTTTTTATACTTCTGATGGCCTGCACGAGATGAAGATCTGACCGATTGTAGTGGAAGGTCGTGTCAGGGATCATACGAACGGCTTGTGACCCTATGACATCAGACAGTTGATTAACCAATCAGCATTGATGTTTCTAGTGGGATACCCACAGTTCTGTGCACCACTCGCCAAGAACTTGCCGTAACAGACCGTTTCATTGGCTAATCCCTCACATCAACAAGAATGTGGCTTATATAACAACTTGTTCAGATCCTAATAAAGTCTTGACAAGTAAAACAAAATTTGCGGTTAAATATTATCGTTAATTTTTCCAAGGTGTGTAACCCCCACAACAGATATCCAATAAGATTAATCAACACAATCATTTTAATTCAATCTATTATTAGTATAAATAATAATCAACAGCTGAGTCAAAAAGTATAAAAATTATAAAAGTATTAAAAGTCAAAAATAATATTTTATTTTGTTTTGACATTTCAATTTTCATAACTCTACCAGTCAAAATTTCACAAAAATATCAAAGTAAATTAGACGCCAAAATACTGCATGGCCTCTAAGACACATCGTTACAACCACTAAGCCAACTTGGACAACATCCGCTGGTCGACAAGAATGCAACAACTACCATATCATGAAACGAACGAACACCAAAACAGTCTTGTTTACTCTTCTGAGCACTTCCTGCGATGATTGTCAAGTGAAAGCTCGAGTTAATCAAGACATTTTATGAGCAAAACATCTCTAGAGCCTATGTGCGTTACTTTGGCAAGGGAATGGAGACTGCAAAAGAGTTAAATATACGATTACCGGTGAATATTTGAGTTCACAACAAGTTCTTCTTTACGTTCACCGCCATTTTCCTGTAAAATGGAGTTTTTTGACAAAGACGCAGGCGCAGAGACCTCAAAATAAACAGGGCTAGCTACAATTAATTAGTCGAGGTTTCGCATTTTACATGGGAGACTACTCCACCACTTGCCCATTATTAACTCCCTTTAACCAGAGCACAGCCTGTATTAGATCATTAGACAAGCTGGACACATTAATTTAAAACCACATCACCATTTTTTCTGACAACTAATTTAAAATGCAGACATAGCTCCATATGCCTGTTTAGTGACTAAATCACTCACTGACTCAGGTTTAACTTACTCAATCAAGAACACCCTCTTTGTTATTTTTTTTTTATGGATGTCCAATACCCACCTTAAATTATAAATATCTTGAATTTTAGTATGAGCTACCTCAAATAATGGCTCTGATAGGCAGTGCTACCCACAATTCTTTAGGTTTTCTCAGAACATTTCAGTTGAATCATTATGGTAGCAGTCGTGGGTGTGGGGTAGTCCAGACACAGAGAATATATTTTCTCTCCTACATCCATGGAAATAAACCTGTTTTGGCAAACTCCACTGTAATCCTATACATGTATGCATCTAAATGAGCAGAAATATTGTCTCAAAATTTCTGATTTTATCAATCCCACTGACCTATCGCCAAACTTGACATTGTCTCCACCTTGAATCCCCGGGGACAACAATTCTTAATGTCTTGCTTTAAAAAAAAAACAACCTAAAAAAGGAATGTAACCAAAAGCTTTCTGCAATAAAATGTGGTATCAAATTCGTGCAAATAGCATGCAAGATTGTTTACTACTTTTTTTCATCAGGACAATATGCCCATAATATTTATTTACATACGAATATGTAAACAGTTGTGTATCTGAAGTTATCTACACAGATGGCTCACACAGGTGGTCTCTGTGGTCTAATCTCTAGTTGAATTCAAAATACAGTCTTTTAATTAAAATATCTTGTTTTATTTATCACAATTTATTATACCACAGTATATGGACTATACCTTTTGCCTAAAGGTGAGATTTAAGTGTTGGTTGACTTTGTATTACAGATATGAGGCAAGTCTCTGTTGCTATTACAGGTGATTGCAAAGGAAACAGTATCTTTTTTAATGCACAGACATGAATCTTGACGGTTGCGGTAATAAGTAATTTGTCTGACATTATGGAAATTTCCAGAGAAGATTAATTTCTGCTCCCCTCCCTCCTTTGAAGTGTCAATGAAAAAAGACAAATCCAATAAATTTAATACAGTATCCTATACAAAATAGAACATAGTCTATCCACCAAAAAAAGAATTCACTAAATAAAAGTATATAAAATATGTTTTATTGTAGAGAAAATACATGATGAATATGCATATTAAAGAGACTTAAAAGATTTGTTTATGTTAATTTAAAGAGTTGAATGATTTTGAGCAATTTCTTTTAATCAAGATGTAAACATATATAACATTCAATATTAGTATTTAGTTATACAATGTGTTATCTTATACAAAATACGATGCAACAAACATTTACACCAACAGCTTATTTGTTAGAATGCAAGAAATATTTTACATGTAAACAAAACTACACGTAATTTGAATAACTGTACAAAAACCTTTGTTTAAATGGGAATGTTACATGAATGTGGTAATAAAATTAAGATGGTCCATATTTTATCTTCAATAACAAATACTACTACACTGTCATTGAAAATAGAGTAGAAAAAAGTACCACAGATACAAGTTTAAATATGACTCAGATGTTTACACCTAATCTATCAAAATTCATCAACATGCATACGTCTGTGATACAGAATGATTCAGATGTTTTCATCCTCTGGTCTAGAACTCATATTTATACTGTAATGCTGAAAACACTTGATATCATAGATTTATTACAAAATATTGTTTATTAAATAAACAATTTCGAAACACTGATGTTGTAATCAAAGGTGTACAGAGCACTGAGTTAGACTAACTGAAAAATTAAAGAAGACTTCAAATAGCATAATTTCAAGAAAAACTGTTTAAAAATAATTATTGCATAAACTGTGGTCATTAAAGGTTATGCCGACACTATCAATATACAATTTATGAATAATTGATATAAGAGTAATATAAAACTACTACAGATAATTATATAAATATACATGATATACAATAATAATGAATAACAGCATTAATTACATTAATTATATATAAATACTCACAACAATTTATACAAGGAATAACAATACAAAACAATGAATGATGATTAATTTGGAGAATGAATAGTAAGACCACATTAAGGGGAAGTAACTCTTCATATACTGCTATACCAAACCACCTTTCAACCAATGTCATACAAAAAATAATGTGTACAAAAGACATAAAATCATCATTCAATATCAATTAAACAATCATTATCATTTAACAATTAAATATCAGACAAAAAACAATACTATAACTATTATTATGTTATTTATGACGAAAATAAAAGCAGACTAAAGAGAGGTAACTCTTACATCTCCTACATTTATCATACTACTACATCACTGTAAAATCAATTTGCTTTCACTCTTCAAAAATGTAATTAGTTTTAACTAAAAACAATCATACAGCAATCAGTCACCATCATTTGTAAGCTCCCCGAAATCAGAATATAAATTTGTTTTAAAAACGTTAAGCACTGCTCTAAAGAGAGAGTTTGTGCATACATAAATAAATATGCTGGTTTTCAGACAATCCTTCCCAAAAATCTTATGGGAAGGAGGTTTATATTTTGTCAAAGGACCACTACTGGGTTAAATGACTTCTTTTAAACATCACATTTCAAAGGACTATATTTATGTGACTACATTGTTTTTGTGAATGTATAATTATCTAGTATCACTTGTGATTGTCAGGGTTACATACTTAATAAATGAGCCTACAGCACAATTTAGAATTCATTTTTGGATTCCTGTGAAGGGGTAAAATATGTTATACTTATAGCACGGCTTTCATGAGTTAACAGGTTTCATTAGAGGCCGTAGGCCGAAGCATTAAACCTGTTAACGAAGGAAGCGTACTATAAATGACTTGTAACATTGACACTTTCTCAACATGCTTGTTGTTATTGCACCGAAAACCCACCCCACTTCTCTATATGATTTCTACTAAAACTAGTGTAAACCAGCAAAAGTGTGCAATAACATCGAACATGTCTAGTTATTGCATGATTTAGCTCCACCCAATATACTAGAGGGAGAGCAATCTGCTTATTTCCCATAAATGTTACAAGTATTTTTATGTTTCATGCGGTTCTTTTTTATTGATGCATAATTAGCTGAACATATTTTTATATGGACTTAATTACTACCTCTTTTTCATGACTTTTATAAAATGTGGCTTAGTTCAAAATGAAGTACTAAATTGGGTTTAACTGGGGTGTTATTTCATTAATGATGGGGCATGCTTAGTATGATTTAACTTTTGTTTTTAAAGATCAACTGGATGGTGGAACACAATATCAGCTTTATCTCAAACCTAGCTTATCTACAAATTTTCTACATGCAGACAACAAAACAAATCAACAAAATTCAATGAAATTGATAATTTCTCGTTTGGAACTTAATACCTATTGTATTTTAGTCTTCCAGCAATGCATCAAATAAATCAATTCCTAGGTCAGTGATGAGCAAGCTGTTACCACCTTCCATTATTATTTTTATATAAACATATCAAAATTCAAAAAATCAATTTATAACAAAAGTTTCTTTTTTTTCTATTGACGAAACTCTATTCTAGGTTTATCATATCGATACAGTTAAAACAGAAATACTCAATTATCTCTACTGCTGCCTTCATCTCTCTTTAAAATAACATCATTATTTCTGAAAAAGAAAGTTAAAGATGCATTAGTTAAGATTTTAATAAAGAGTTGGTCATTCTTGATATAACAATTCAAAAATAGATAATAATAATAAAAAAATAATGAAAATTTCAGTCAAATTACTTTATTCTGGACGAAATTAACACTGTTGGAAGTTTGGACTAGAAATAGGCATCAACTTGTCTGTTGCACCGTCTCCGAGAACTGTTGATCGTTTCATTGACAGATGATAACTCCGCCCATATATTCTTGATTATCAAGTAACATTCTCAATGCCTATGTTACCCTCGATCGTCAGTCCTCTCATCGGCAGTCGCCGGTAGTGACGTCAGAGATTAACGGTAAATGTTAGCTTAGTCAGATATTTAATGATTTAATTATGAAATGGATGACTGTTTAAATTCAAGCTGTATCCAAGCCTTCCGTGGGTGTTGATTTTGGGCTTGTTAGGTAAATAAAGGTCTAATTAATAATTCTTTAACATTTGAAGCCTAAAGAAAGACATGCAATCGGCATATTTAGATAAACAATTGGGATAAACTTTATAAAAGCTAAGATCAAACATCAATCAAAACATTTTGCCAGGAATGTCTGTTTATTTACTGAACATTTTTAGTGGCAATATTTTAGCCAACAGATATTGATATTTGAAATTGTGTTGATCTTCATTTGTGGTCATCTTGATTAGTTATACTGATCCTCTGTTAGTTTTCTTACCTTAGATCCCGAGGTAGAGGTTTCTGAAATATGTCTTGATGCTGCTGCTGCTGCAATTGTTGAAGGATCCAAAAACATCTCTGGTATACTATTACCAAAATATATTTTGGTATTTTGGGCTATTGACTCATACTTTACAAATTCTAAATATTCTTTTGTGAGTTTTAACTGTAAAAGAAATACACTATATAAGTAGATACAAATAAAATATAGTACAGTATTTTCGTTAAAATAGTATTTTATCTAATAAATATTGTATTTTATTCAAAAAATTCAATATAGTATTTTATTTATTCAAAAAATTCAATATTTTATTCAAAAAATTCAATATTTTATTCAAAAAATTCAATATTTTATCCAAAAAAATCAATATTTTAATCCCCAAATTTCAATATTTTATTCAAAAAATTCAATATTTCAAAAAATTCAATATTTCAAAAAATTCAATATTTTATTCAAACAAATATATACCCTATCAGATTAAAATAGGATCATTAAATATGTGCAGACGGCCTTGACATCAGGATTCTGGCAGGAGTTAATATCAATTAGTTAGACGGCAGTGGGATAATCAAATATAAAAATATATCATGTCTCAAATGCACATTAAACTCCATCCCGTTTTCTCTTTTAGAGAGGCATTAAAAGCTTGCAATGGTTAAAAAAAACTACCTACCTTATTTGATTCTATTTCTTTTTTTGTTCTATAGAAATCAGCATCAGCTTTAGCCTTTGCTCTAGCAGTGTTAGCAGAATCTGTAATTATAAATGAAATGGGGCTTAACTTTCTACTCCAACTGAGTTAACTGAACACAGGCAAACACCATACAGTGTGCCATGAAGGAAATTTTGCCCGGACAGCGGCACTACGTCCTGCTATTAAATTGAATTCCAACTGTCAAGGAATTTTTTATGTAAATGCCAATGTGTACATGGGACCTCTCTTTTTCATCCCATCCAAATGACTATACGTTGTCCCTTGTCAGGCCCTCTGTCCTGCACCACTGACAAGGGGTAGCCATGTCGGAAAAACCTGATGAAATGTCATGAAATGGGGTTCTGCTCCTACTGGGCTAATGAAGACGGAAATCCCAATGAACTTTCTAGGCCAATGCATGGATCGAACACTCGACCTCCAGGCTGGCGAGCCAACATCTTATCCACTGAGCCACTGTGGCTCTCTATAAAGGATATAAGTTATTATAAGTACAAATACAAATTGTTTATTCATTATGACATTATATAAGGCTCTCGTTCAAGTTTAGAATTTCACAAAAAAAAATTAAGTTTATAAAAAAATAGGATAAAGTTTGTCAAAATCAGTATAAAAAAACCCATCTTTCTAATTCGAGGTAACCAAATATGTCAAATCTTGACCAAATGGCAAATTTTGAAGTGATATAATAGTTAACAAATACTGTCAATACCTTCAATTTCAGACATCTTCTTTTCTGATTCTTTTTCCATAACCTTTTGTTCCCATTGAATTTTAGCCACCAAAGCTACTTTTTCTGCCTCTACAATGATGAAAATAGTTATATCATTTAGATTTATCAACAAGAGATAGGGTATGAGGCCCTTGAAACCATAAAATTAGAAATAGTAGAAGGTGCTGGAGTTTGAGTCTGGATGTTCTGAACTGACAGAATAACAACATAGTTCCACAAGTCCCTTTCAACCAGGAAAGGGTCTTGTGAAACTATGTTGTTATTCTGTCAATTCAGAACCTCAAAATCCAGTAGAGGGTGTTTGTGGGTTGTAAAGACAACCCTACTCCTTGTCACGTACATCCGGGGAATCAAAACCACACCAGTTGACTCAATGACAGACTGTTAGCATGTGCTAACCATTCAGCCATCAAACAATCTACTGAAATAACTGAATGATAACTGATTTACTGAGAATTGAGTTCTGTCACCTCAATGTTTTATGTATATATGTAGATTTAGGGATTATCAGCTGGTTGTTATATTTTATTAACTTGGTTGGTTTGACTGAAAACTAATTACCTATAACTGCCTTTTTCCTCTCCGTTTCTGCTTCTTTCTCGACTAACTTCTGTTTTTGAATGGCTATTAGTAATTTAGTTTTTTCTCCTTCCCTGAAAACGAAATATAAATACATTCACAATCTGGTAAAGAAGTATTTATACATGTTTCTCTGGTTAGTAGACCAAATAAACTTTTATTTGATGGAGCCATCACATACATATTTTATTGAATAAAACTTGTTACTTCTCTGTAAAACCATCTTCAAAACATTTATCCAAGTCCTGCGATACTATTTGAAGCCCTTTGACAATTCTTTACAGAAAAAGCTAGCAATTTCACATGTGATTGGCCACAAGTTTCCAAACTAAGTTATAGTAGTCACATGATAACAATGTATATTAGCTTGTTGGTAGTTTCTTGATAAACATGTCTACAAGCTTTACACAAGTGTGGGAGTTGTTTCTTGATAAACGTGTCTATAAGGTTTACCCAAGCGTGGGAGTTGTGTTTATCAAATCACTTATTAAAAGAAAACGGTCGTTTCAGGGAGCATTTTTTCAGGCAAGGCAAATAGAGTATTACATTTTAGAGTTTGGTTTGCCTTCTTACACCAACCTGATAGAAGTAATAATAGGGCTTCTCCTTTTAAATGGAATAGAATAATTACAACTTACATGGCTTCATAGTTTTTTCTGATAGATTCTGGAATCTTTGGCTTGGTAACTCGAACAGCTTGTACCATTAAACCAGGAGCCATTGCATTTAAATCTATTTGTAAGGCCTTCTTTAAATTTTCATCAATTTGATCTAAAAAAAATTAGAATTAAATATAATATTTATGGATTTTGATTGAAGGTATTTATAACAATTAGCAATGTCAAAGCATAATATTGATCTCACTACCACAGATGAAAATTTGACATTCCACGACCCATAGACATCTAGAGACATGTTCTGAACTGGTATGAAGCCCAGGAGTGCCGAGGAGAATGTTACATCAGTTTGGTAAAACATATCAATTTGTACAACAATATCATTATAACACAAAGACAATTGTTAAAGAACCCATCAGATATATTTTAATGATTTGAATGCATTAATTGTAATTCTATAATATTCTCGGAAACCTGTACCCTAGTCCTGTACAACTATAAATGATCAAATACAAGGCTATCCTCACGTGATTACATATGGCTAGAGTGTGTCACTATTACCAAGTCCCACGTACAATTCAACAGTGGGATTCCTTAAATTAGTTATGTAACCTCTTTACGCAAATTCTATTCATCAAGCCAGGGATCATTTATATGCACTACTAATTGGGATATTTCCAAATGGTTCTTCATAGGACATCTTGAAACAACAGTAGAAATACTACAAGAAAATTCTCATTCTGATGAAGCAAAAAGGTGAATTTTGTCAAATATGCTAGATACGACATTTTGACTCCCCATTGACAATATTATATTGTCAATTATAACAAGAATAATCTCAAAAAGTTCATTAAGCAAGAATGTATAATAACTGAAAAAAACTCACCAAATAAATCTATATAAACCTCTTGTAAATTGTGTACTGAACAAAACTGATTTAATTCATGGTGAATTTTATTATAGATTAATGTTTTATCATAGTCTGCAGTATAATTCTTAACGGTTTCATATACTGCAAATAAAAATAATAATCATTTTTTATTATACATCTACTCTCTTACTTTAAATATCTACTAGCAGCATACACGGCTTCACTCAGGCCCAAATTGAACCGAATCATGGCCTAAACCATTCCAAGGGTCATGCTGGTTAATTTGATACCCACAGAAATCTTTGATTTCGTTTGTATAGATTATCCACACAATAAGTTTCAAAATTATACATTAAACTGGGCTTCAAAAGTTTTAAAGTTGTGACTCTGACCCTTGTCACTAATTTAATTTAGTTCACAACCAAATTAGTGTGACCCTTCTATTTTTTTTTTTTTTTTAAGAATTTGCATGTTTTTAGGTCTTACTAAAACCACGGACCATATGAATAAAGTTTACAGTGGCTATTTGTATCGTAGGCTTTCATTAGCTAGCTAGCCAGTGAGTTGTTAAACAAAAACACTGAGGTATGACAATATTTTCAAGTCTGGGCCACCGATAAACGTTGAATCCAAGCCAAAAGATTATCTACCATTGACAATTTAATGTGGATTCCGCTGGGATAACTAAGATATATTTTAAAAATTGTTGACACTTGACTATGATTGGTAATTGGCAACTTGAATGAATAATACTAGAAAAGTTTAAAATCCTCTTAAATAGTGTATTAGCTTGATAACGTTGAGAGAATACTCTACGAAACGTCGCCTTAAATACACTAGTAGCTGTTTTCCATAAGTATGTGTTTTGTTGTTACTCTTAAATAGTGTTGACATTCACTATACAGTATCCGGTTTCTTTGTGTTCAATGAAGTAGCTTTCACAATATAATCAACTGTTTTATACATATTTATATCACTAATAAAATTCAATTGTTAAATCTTTACCTTTAGAACGTTCTAACTTATTAACAACTTCAATTCTTTCAAAATATATAATCACACCACCACTGTAAACAAAATACATCAACATCAAAATATACTGTGATCTAAGCAAATAAAATAATCTTTATGATCCTTAGAAATACAAGAAAAGCACATTCTTAATTTATTAATCAAATACCAGTGAGGCTGATGTCTCACAATAAATAGATGATACTCATTAATCACTTGCAAAGTTAACTTTTTATAAAGCACCGACCAATAAAATTGCTTATCACTCTGTTTAAACAGAAAATGCTAATTATCGCACTTAGTCAAGGTACTGATCCAATGAAAATATAGATCAAGTTCCATCCCTCCGATGTTCATGAGCATCAACAAATCAAATTGCTTATCTTTGCTTAGCCTAAATACATGTAGAACAGACTTATCATTGACCTCAGTAAAGACATTCATCTCTTTTAAATATTTTACCACAATTATAAGCAAGGTTACCTGGTTCCAAAAGGTGCAATCTGGTTAAAACATAGATCCTATTTCGTTTTTTTTTTGTTTTTTTTATAGTTTAAAATTACGTTTTACTTGTTTTTACTAATACTACTAATCTGGAAGAGTTCTTATATTACCGGCGTTTTGGTTGAAGGGAGGGATAAGCCAATGAGAAGGGAGGGATAAGCCAATGAAACAGTCTGTTACGGCAACTTCTTGGCGTGCCATGCACGGAACTGTGGGTAAAACACTAGAAACGGCAACGCTTATTGATTAATCAATGCCTGACCTCATATTGTCAAAAGTCCCTCGTACAACCCCTGACATGATTCGAGTACACCTTGTCAGATCTTTATGTAGTGTCGGCCGTCGAAAGTATAAAAAACAAAACGAAATATAGAACTGTATTTCAGATTGCAAAAGGTGTGACGAAAGACGGAGGAAAATTAATATAAGAATAAACCAACTCGATGAACAATACTGAAACCGGATATGGTGATAGTAATTTAGCATAGGCTCATTATATAAGTGATTAAAATGTGGTAATTCTATGTCATTTTTATTAAATTTCATTTACATCTTGCTAGGAAATATGAATCTTACCTTGTTCCACATGGAACATTTTTTACTTCATCTGTTTGTAATGTGGTCTATGAAAAAGAAAATCCAATACATACATTATAAGTGTACATGTATCAATTGGATTTCAGTATTCTACTTTTCTGCACTAAAAAGGCTACAAAAAGAGGCATTTAAAAGGATGGGCATTAGCATACAGTGTGTTATGAAGGCAGCAATGGTTCTGAATATTCAAATTTCAACTGTCATGGGTTCTTTAAAAACATTTTTAGATTAACACATGGTCAGTATAGTTTTTGATGATATGAACAAACAGAGCATTTGCTTCAAATGGTGACCCTTAACCCTTTGAACCCTGGCATAAATGACCATCCCCCTGGCCCGTGGATCAAAACTTGACAATTTTCAGTGACTAAATATAAAATTGCTAATCACCCAAAGTGTCAACAAAAGTTATATTCTACAAGTATGGATTATGTTTTTCTCAACAATACACCATAATCAACATTATTCACGTCCTTGTCAACACTCTCAAGTATTCTAGCCAGTGCCTGGTCTACTGTTGCACGTCTGTTTGCTATTCATGACCGTAAAACAATACATGTATTTCCAGGAACATTTGCGTTGTGTCTGCGAGTGATGAGGGGGAAGAAAGCACTGCAGATGACACATTGTAACATGTGTTCTGATTGGTCTAGACTTGATGGAATTCCAAATGAGTCATACCAGAGTATCACCGAGGGAAGGGGGAAAGCCCTCGCTACACATAACATGCATTCAGAGTGGAATTCCTAATGTGTCATGCTTGGCCGTAAAACCGACCAGCCAGGATATAGACATTATTATCTCGACCGAAAAACTGGCCAGTTGGGCCCAAAGAATTAAAAACAATTACGGGTTACAGATACAATAATGTCATTGGACTGAGAAACTAAATAAATGAAACAAAAAAAGAGATGTCCTTGAAACTGTAACCTTGAAAACAATTAATGGATTACCTGAACTGATCTAAATGTTGTTAATACAGGAAACATAAAATGATAGCCAGGTTCACTTGTTGATGATAATAAGGCACCTCCCTGAAAATAAAAAGATAAATTACTGATCCAGACATACATAATTCAATACATAATTTCAATTCAACACGAGAAGCAAATAGGGATTAAGACAAATTTTCCAACTGACCTTTCAGATACATGTAGATGGATTTGAAATCTACATAAAATCATCATTAGCACTCTTAGGTTTCATTTTTTTGAGAATTCCTACTGGAAATATAGTTTTATCACCAAGCCTTTAGAGGATTTTAAGAAGCCGTATAAATTCAGGATATACAAGATTCATGATTATAGTAGTATATTGGTGGTAATATATTGACAATTGTTACATTTATATCAATTATAACCGATATTTAACTATACATAGCAAAAACAAAATGTTAAACCAAAATATTAAAAACCTTACTCTATAGTACACACCAACATGACCTGAAATGGATAAAACAAAAAAATATAATTCATTAGCTTAAAAGAGGAAATGAAATAAAAATTTGAAAAGAAGCTAAACCGGGCAAATGAAGATGAGCATTTACACCATGCAGTGTGCTATGAAGGAAATTTTGCCCTGACAGTGACACTACGGCCTATTCTACACCATGCAGTGTGCTATGAAGGAAATTTTGTCTGAACAGTGGCACTACATCCTACCATAATTTCGAACTCAAAATGCCAGCAATGATAAAGTGGTCTAAAGAGCTTTAATTTATATAATTGAATACAGTTGTGTCAAGTTTGTAGCTTATGGATTTTTACCTTCGGATTATATCAATTCAACTAACCTTCTTCTATCTTGTGTATAGAAAAATTCAAAAAGATTCCTAGCAGGACTGCCGAGACAGATAATATCGTTAATGCTGGATTAGCCATTCTGTTATGTTGACAGTTACTGTGAAATTATCACCTTCCCTTGACACTGTAATCTAATAAAATATGAATAACAGAATATTTCATATCAATATAATACTGATTTCTCAAACTGAACATATAACCTACATGTACACAACCATAATCTATAAGTAGACAAGGTGAAGAAATGGAGTGAATCAGTCTATTTTTTACCAAGATTTTCATGTCTTAACTATAATTATTGACTTTTAACATTCTGTCTAGTACTAGTAATCTAATCTCATCAACATAGTACATGTACTAACCAAACCTAAAGGTACTTTTAATCTGTTTATTTTACCATAAATATCCAATGTTTCATTTATCACTTATTTAAATACCTATACCTTACTGTTTAATACTTGATACACAATCCAGTCACACAAATTCATCTAAGACAAGCTGAGAGTGTCAAAACTGAGCACTAATCAATCAATTGTACACACATTTCAACACTTTAGTTGCTATTAATAAAAAAATTAGATGTTGCGAAAAGAGTTTTGTCTAATGATCAGCCTCTAAAGAATATTTCTCTAAATCCTTTGCCCTCTTTATGAATTGTATTCGTGTAAGTCATTGTTGTGTTAAAAGCAACATGCAAGTTCCAAGCAGACGGCAGTGGATTGGGGTTATTGGCTAGACTTTAGAATCTATCCACAACTCACTCTAGCTGAATTACAGACAGCAGGTTACAGTGAACATCAGTCCTAGGTTATTTCAGGTTGATTTAAACAGTATTTTATTTCAAGTACAACTAGAGTATTTACAACACTGATGTAATGGATTAGAAAACAAGCCAAAGCTTATATAAATTCATCTCCATGTAAATTATACATATCAAAATGTACAAGTACATGTATTTCTAACATATTTACACTGACAAATATAAATAAATAAGTCATCATCATCTTGGGAGGGTATTTAATGTTGTGATATGCTGATTCACAGAATTGGGGCAGTGCAGAAAATAGTGATCGCTGTCTTCTTGGATGTGACCATATCTGCATATCGGAGGATTATCAGAAATATGCATTAAAAATCTATGGAAATTTAGAGTACAGTACTTTTACAGTTGCGAAGTCTGGAATGGATAATCTGAAATTTACGTACACCATAGTTATAATATTCAGGCATTTTATGATCATTCATGCTCAATTTAATTTTGAAATTTTGTATATCAGATTTATGTTAAAATATTAGTGGGTATATTGAGTATACTATATTCTAATATCACAATGGAATATCTTATAAACTACAGATTTGTTATCTTATAACAGATTGGCCATTACATGGTTAACTCATCGATACAATTTTTTTTATTTTGAAGCCAAAACATATTTACTTTTAACAGTCCATGCGATCAGTTATCAGAAATTAACAATGCTGTAAAGATAGACCTGGAATAGGCAAACATCTGGCACATGAACACAATCACAGGTGTGAAAGGCACTTTTGTCACAGATGTCATGCCTGATTTTCAATGTACAATGAAGACATGATTAGATGATCTTAACTGTTAAGATTGACCAGATAAAGACTGGATAAACAAGATTCCCCATCCCCAATATTTTAACAATCTTGGAGAGAGAGAGAGAAATGGGGTTTAACCTCCACTCAACACAAACTAGGTCATTTCGGGACCAACATATGGTTTAATTTTATTTCAATAATTCGCTTGCGCTTAGGGGTCTTTAGCAGTGGGAGGAAACCGGACGACCCGGAGAAAACCCACGAGGCTGGACAGGCAACCCTACTCCTTGTCACGTACAACCGGGGATTCGAAACCATGCCAGTTGACTCAATGACAGGCCTCGTGATACAGCGCGCGTGCTAACCATTCGGCCATCCAACCCCCCTTAACAATCTTGGAACCTGGTACAAGATGTAACCGGTGTTGTCTGACCCTTTAAAGAAGAATAAGCACTTCACAGACTTGATGCAGCTGGTAAAAAAACTCATTTTTGTTTGATATTATTTGATTAATTACCACCAGGCCTGTTCAAATTGATTATATACAAATTTTGAAAAAATCCTGCTAAATCTTTGTTACTTTACATGTTTAAATCAGGTCAAGGGCCATTACTTTGTCAATGTAATTAATTACATTACCCTTACTTTTTAAATGTAATCATTACAATTACCTTCTCACTTTTTCTAATTAGCAATGTAATTCATTACATGTACCATTACCCATTACATTGAAAGTAATTAATTACCATTACTCATTACTTTATGACTATGGTATATAAGTAAAAACCTTTTTTTCATAGACATTAAATAGACAACCAGACAACTTTATTTTTCTGCCATTAAAAGTGCCTACAAAATCAAACTCAAAATAATCCTTGATTTACTATAGATATTTTTTATTTTTATAATTTATAACTTCAAGGCAAAAGCAAATTTCCAAATGGGGGGCAGTGGTAACAAAAACTTGTTTTAACTGTATGACTTGAAAAATGAATCAAAAGTATAGAGTAAATTAACTACATTCTCTTTTAAGTAATTCTATAGAATTCCTAATCAATCCAAAAATTGGTCTATAATATATTGTATAGCTGGGAAATTATTCAGCATAACTCTTATATTAAATAATCATAAAATGATGAGATACTTGAAGGCCATTGTTTGGCTTGTTACTTGTCACCTTGAGATTAAGATTAAAGTGTAATAAGACTATATCGTCTTTTAATCCAACCGATTGACTGTATGATTGGAATCAAATTAGCACAAATCTCTACATCATTTCAGAAATCCACTTTTCAGATAATTTGTTAAATGCTTTTTTAAGATAATTTTTTTAATGCCTTTTAAAGATAATTTGTTAAATACTTTTTTAAGATAATTTGTTAAATCATTTTTTTTCTTCTAAAATTCCAATGAATTGGATATTTGTGTCAGATATACATGTATTTAATTTACGTCTTTGATGCTATATAAATATTAAAATTTGAGGCTTGTCATATTGGAAATATTTATATGTGTCATAAAATGTTATGGAAATGTAATTTAACATATTACATGATTTTTGGAATGTAGTAATTAGATTTCCATAACCAGTACGGTACTCAATACTCTTGATATCTTCCATTTACCCCAGCCCTGGTATAAATACAATTTCACTTTCAATTAAAAGTGAATTTAGCGGTTTTCAAGGAATGTAACTAACACTCCAAAAAAATTTCCTTGCTTTAAATAAATCAGTTCTTCGATGTTTAAGTCTCCATATATTTCAAATATGATATACGAAATTCATTTATTCTCTTTGTGAGAATGATAATGGCTCTTTAAGATTATGTTTTTTCGGTCAGACTAGCAAAAGCTGTAAAGATCACATTCAAACCGGAGTGCTAGAAATTTTGTAATCAATCAGCTTGATGAGTCTGGTAGACCGATGCTCGTGCAGTAGGTCATTGTGTGAGCATTTTTCAATTTTTAAAGCGACTTGACAATATCACAAGAATGCAAGCACATTTGTCAATGATATTAGAATGAAGTGAGTTGTGTTTTGATGCCATGTGATTCATACATTGCAGTTCAAATTAAAACTAATAGAAAAAGTGAATAACAGATGATACCAGTTTGGACAACGACGTCAATCACATGCATTAAGAAGATTGATCAATCATACATTGAATCTAAATCTAATGGAAATGAAATGGGGTTTAACAATAACCTCTGACTATTCTGCTCCAACTGGGCTAATACAGTCTGTGTCGAGAATAAATGATTCAAGTATGATATGGTCTACTGATTACCATGGACCTTTATGTTTATAACTGTCCCTACAGTGTATATATAGGCCTATCTGATAAATATAATTAAAACAATTTAAGATCATGGTGATGTTCGAAAGTGCAAAAGCATGGCATGCCATGTGAAATTTAAAGATATATATTACGTATCTACTTATGTAAAACTACCGCATATAAAGCCAACACTCTAATCTAAGTATATAAAATACCGGTCTAATAATGACACTTGGGAAAACAGTCTACAAATTTATGATGGCAATTGGCTATGAAAAAAACGGCAACTAATAGCCTAGGCCTACTATTACTGTAACATAACACTAACCAGTACACACTGTCTGTTAGATAAGAAACGTCATCTCTCAACCCTCTGTATTTCGAGATAAGAGATTGTGCTATATTAACTATATAGTTTTACCTGGCAAACCTGACGTGAAACACGTCGGGCTTCAATAAGCAAAATTGACAACATTTTTCATGAAAACAACAATTGATTATGATTATTTATAACACTTCTGCCACATTCAACTACAATTAAGCATATAATCCTACGAATCATGTCTTTTTGAATCAAAGTGATGATAGCCTGGCTCTCCGGCATTTTATTTGACATCTTTGACGCCATGAAGGTTGGGCGTCATGTAAAACATCCAATCAAATTACTCACCTGATATAAGTTGCGCAGGAATAATACACCGTAATTATGAATGTCCGTATCAATTTTGATAAAAACAAAACCTGATTTAATTTATTGACAGTATGCTGTATTATGTATATAGGCCTACTGAGTATTTTTGTAGATACCGGTAACCAAAGTTGTTTCGCTAGTGACTAGGGTGGTGTGCCTGTGTTTAATAAGTTCTAGTAGGCCTAGTATAAAATTAACTTATTTTCAAGATGTTGCATGCATTAATAATGAAATTAAGGTTGCCAGGTGAAATTAAAGGCATCCAATCGTAGCTAAAAACAAGCACGTATCAGCAGTACATCACATCTCAACGTGTAGCTAACTGTCTGTGACTGTAATCTTGGCCGTGTCTCGAGACTGCTTTTGAATAAATCTATAACAATGTGGCAAAGAAAGCTGACGTGTCTGAAAAAATAAAAATAGAAACTTACCTAAGGTGAAATGATCTAGCTTATGATTGCTACACCGGCCGAACAATATGAATATAAATCATGAAACCATGAAATAAATTTCGTCAATGCTACTTCCGTTCTGTATTTTGGAAAGATAACTCTGCCTATCCCGGGACTATTTTTGTTTTTCATTGACAGAACTTGCGAATCACTGCATTTATTTATCGTGTTTTCATAGTTATGTTTTAAATCTAAGAATCGCCCTTTTCCTTCTAAATATATGCGGATAATTTGGTTTCACTTCGAAGCCCGACAAAAACTCGGAAAATTAATATTTTCTATATTCCGGTAAAAAGAAAAAAACAAAAAAACAGGGGAGGTAAATATCAAATGTAATAGAGGAAACAGACCACCCTTTAATGAATGCGAATTCTGGTCTTTTTGCCCGGCTCCATCTTTTCCCCAAGTTTTCGTTGGGCTGAACACTTTTCACTACAATCAGAGCAACAAATGGTCATGTTACATATCAACGTAACCAACCGCTTACTATGTTATTCTTTCCGCTTTTAATTCATTTAACAAAACCTGTCAGAAAATTTTAATTCAAACCCTCTTCTTTCAATCTAGACCAAAAAATCAACAAAAATGGCCATGCTAAAGGGGTGTAAAGGGAGAAAAAGAGAATTGAGCGGCCATGCAAAACGGGTGTAAAGGGAGAGAGAGAGAGAATTGAGCATTAAATGGTGAAATTTAATGGTAGTCTGCCTGCATTGCTAAAAGTTCTATAAGTTCTAAAAAAGATTGGTTTCCATCTAATTTTGAGTACCATAATTTTACAGGTGCTACCATCACTAATTTGATGGGCTTTTATAAAAAAAAAGGGGGGGTTCTACTGTGAGGATTTTACTATTTCATGCCTGGTTAGGCTAGGCTATAGCTTTCTTCTTTGTGAGGGTACAGTAATAAAAAAATAAATGAGCCTCGACTTAAATAACTCAACCATTATTCAAGGCTGGCCAAGTTGGGGTGCCAGCATAGACTAACATTGTATGGGACTATTTGCATTTTAGCAGACATAGGCCTACATTCGTCCAAATATTACCAGACACCAGATACGAAGTACCGTAGCTATATATTGATGTAGGCTACCTCATACCACTGTTGCATTATGCATACTCCAACTCTGTATTCCATTTCTGGGAATGTAATTAAATAAGGAAATGGAAACAGGGATATCAAAATAAATACTTATAGCTTACATATTTTTTTATTTTTATTTCTTCAACTAATAATATATTTATATATGATAATATAAATCACTTAGTGGTAAGTTCCATATAACATCTTTGATTATCAATGCTCACATACAAAATATATATTATATTATATACAAAAATATCTTTAACTTATACAACAACAATGGAAGAGATTAATAAATGATAATCATTTGGTTAATGGAATAAATATGGAATGCTTCTCAAATATAGGTATGAAAATTATAAAGCTGATTAAAATCAGATGTAGATGCCCTTTCCTTTTATGGGTTACAACATTAACAATTGACATATTTGAAGTCAGTGTTCAGATCACAACTATTTTGACTAATCATATTGTCTGTATTGGTATACTGGGCTACATATTGTGATGAATGTTGGGGGTGATTTGGAGTTATAACCATTTGGCATACAAACAATGTCTTGATATAAATGTTACTAATAAAATAATAAACAAAATTGTTATCTAATTTTAAATAAATTGGGATATTACTAACAAATTGTATCAATATTTAAATATTCAATAATATCTAATATCAGTACAAAAAAATGAAGTACAATTGGATAGACTATCTGATACAAAACTGTTTCAAGACTGAGCAGCCCTTGTAGACAAGCTGTCTCCATGTCTATATTTATTAACTCGATTTTATATTCTTCAAATCAAACAACACATATTTCAAAACAAAATTTATATGTCAATAAAAAATCTCAATATGAACAATAAAAGTGGTTTCAATATCGATATAAAACTCAAGTAAATTTGAATAATTTGATTCTACAGTGGGTTAATTAATATAGTCTAAAGAAATAAAAAAAAAAGAGCAACTGAACAGATAAAGACTACTAGATACTGTAGTTTTATGGCAGTTGCAATGCATCTGCGTCAATCTGTTTCTTAGAGGATCTACAAATGCTAGCGGAATCCTCCACTTACGTAAACAACACAAATTCAGTAGAATAAAAAATGTTAATTAGTTGATTATCTAAACTGAAAGAACAGAATACATAGAGTAAAAATATTTATATAATTTATAGAATATCTTGACTAAATCTGGTATGAGGATAAGCTATTCCATATAATTTATAGAACATCTTGACAAAATCGGGTATGAGGATAAGCTATTCCATAAATTATTTATATAATTTATAGAACATCTTGACTAAATCTGGTATGAGGATAAGCTATTCCATAAATTATTTATATAATTTATAGAACATCTTGACTAAGTCTGGTATGAGGATAAGCTATTCCATAAAATAAATTACTAAATAAGCAAATTATTTATTACACCATCTAGAGGTAGAGGTGGAAATACTGAAACTAAAACAAGAATACTACATCTCTGACTCTTGAGTATTTCAATCCAATGAAAACTAGGTCTATTACATATATGTCTCACAGCCCATTTGAATCACCACATTTAAAGACCCACATCCAGTTTAAAAACCACTGGATCTCTTGTAATTTTAACAATACAATGAATACTGTATCCATAGCCCCGTTTACACTTGGCCGCGATAAGCGTGACGTTCTGGGCACGGTACCAGCCGCGATAAATTTCAAGAAATTGACCCGTTTACATTACTCTAAAATAACCGATCTCAGAACCGTGCCAAGCACGCTAAATGTGGAACTCTTCACAGAAAAGTTAATTTCAGTCCCTATACAAATTACCCAGATGAAAACAATTATGATGGTTGATTTAGTTTGAGCAGTCATTTTGACAGAACTGATGACAGAGCTGTCAAAGTTTGTGGGGGGAAAAGTCAAGGTTCATTTGGCGCTTGCGCAGTAATCCGTGCTCAGACCGGTTAGCGTCTACACTACGAAAATTTAAAGAGATCCGGTCCTGGTACCGTTCCGAGACCACCTCATTTCAGTGGGCCAGATTGGCACCGTACCAGGCGCGGCACGTTTACACTACAAAAAACGAAGAGTGCCGCACCTGGTACGCTTAAAATTTGTAATGTAAATGGGGTTATAGTCAGTGATGACATACTCCCAGAGTACATGATCCCTTCACCAGTTAATGTTTTCTCAGCAGGTTAGGAAACTAACATTTGAAATGAATTTTGACCATTTATAACTTTTGGTGTTGCTGAAGTTAACAAAGAGGAAGTGGGACTTTAATGAATGATTTTGAATTCTGACTAACATGTTGTCTCCCATGCTGCAATTCTTTTATTGTTCTTTGAAATATCTTAGGTTATATGATATATATATGTTTGGAATAATTAAATGGGATTTATGTAGAAACGTCACACTAGTAATAAAGTGTGGACTACCTTAGATATATTGTTTTTATAAAGTAGGCTACAGTGGGTACAAAAGTATTGTAACTTACTATATGTAGATATATGAGGTAGACTATAATATAAATATTACATACTCATGTATGTACAATAATCATTGATATAAATCTAACACATAAACATAAATATATTTATCTATTATGACATAGAGTCTATATATATATACATTCATGTGTATTTATACTGCCCTACAAAGGAGAAAGGCAGTATCTGCAACATAATCATAGTGTAGATACTGCCTTCTTCCTTTGCACGGCAGTATATATGACAAACAATACGTAAGCAATAACTGAATTTACAAAAAAACAACATTTTGCGCATAAATCTTGATCACTTGACATATAAGATTGCACCAGGGAACAATATACAGTCTTAATACATTTATCAAGAAAGCATACCAATATAACATAGGCAGGAAAGTCTTATTAACAAAGACTATTGATAATTTAATACAATAAAACAATTTATTTTAATCATTCTTGACGAAATGCTCGTTATTGAACTTAATCAAGGTTTAAATAAAACCCTTTTTCATCCCTCTCACTTAATTATGTACCGACAAATCAAAGTGCTTATCCCTGCTAAACTTAAGCAGTAAATTCTGGTCATCGAACGCAGTGAAGACATTCACCTAAAGTTTCTACATCAATTATAAGCAGAAATATTGTGTCCCAAAAATAGTGACAAACGAGTGAACCAATATAGTCCCTTGCTTTCTTTAAAATGTTGGTGACAATTAAAAAGTTCTGATAATTAACTCATTTTTATAATTAACACTGTAGCCATAGGGCCATAATAGAGACCAGTGTATAGACTACCGTTTAATTTATAAATTATTATATTCACATGTGATGCGATTGAAATACAATCATATCCACATTTCAAATTTTTTGCGTGATTGAAATATATCATGTTAACATATTTATGCGAATGAAATATAATCATTTGAACATTATTAAAATTGCTTAAATTACGGAAGACTTTGGCTTCTTATGACAAATATTCTTTGCCTTTTTTATCATCTTTTGGTAGAATTTCACAGGTGTTGAAATGTGAAGACATGATTCTTGATAAAAGATAACTGTCTTAGTACATGCCTTGATCTGAAATATAAAATAAACAATATACTTTAATATTTACCGAGTTGTTTTTATCTTTCATTTTGTAATACCTTGCAATAAACAAAATGTTTTTCATATGAAATGAAATGAAATGGGGTTTATCGTCCTAATTTTCTGCACCAACCGAGCTAATAAATGAAATGAAATGGGGTTTAATGTCCTACTGTTCTGCTCCGAACTGGGCTAATGAAGACGAGCATACGCCATACAGTGTGCTTTAAGGGAAATTTTGCCAGGACAGCGGCACTACGGCCTACTCTTATATCAAATTCCAACTGTCATGGGATCTTTTACGTGCACGCCAATGTGTACACGGGACCTCAGTTTTCCATCCCATCCGAATGACTAGACAGCTGTCCTTGTCAGTCCCCCCGTCCTGCATCACTGACAAGAGGGAACCACAAGCTAATAAAGACTGATGAATGCTGACACACCATACAAATTGATTGGAATGGTTTATCATACATAATTCCACTTATCTTTACTGAAAATAATGACATTGTTAGAAATATCAATAGATGGTATGCCTACTCTTGATGATGCACCATTCAATACATCAAATGTTAAAATATTATAGAAATATAAAGGATTAAGCTTTCTAACAACGTATAATATATTGTGTCTAAGGGTCCATAGGGAGAGAATTCATACAAAATTTCAGAAAAACTGACAAAGGTATTGTTCTGACAACTGATCTACTAAGCCCAGGAAAAGAGTTGGATTATATCAAATATCAAATCATGAGTAATATACCATGTATAGTTAGTGTGAAGTATTCTTATATGTAATAAAACTATCAAATAAAACTGTGCTTTAAAAAACATTTTCAATTATCAAAGTCATATATTTCCCTATTTGTATTATATACGGTATTATGAATAATATCTATAAATTTATTTTCCCTCCAATAAACTATTATATAGCATTCAAGATTTTGATTATATCCGCATTCCTTAGAGTAACATGATTTGTGTCAATGCGAATTTATCTTTAAAATGAATGAATATCAAATTTCTTGATGCCTATTGATAGATTTATAACCTTGTACTATTATTCACACAATTGCTCTGTGCTTACTTAAAGTGACACTAATCTTTGTCAATGGTTCATGTCACAGCAGTGGTCTGGACACATTTGTTGTATTCAAGTGCAGAAATTCTTAAAGCCTTTTAATCCTTTTATAATATTAGCTTTTATATTATAAATAATTCTAATCTATTGACTTGTATGGTACAAAAAGGTAATACTTTGAAAGCAAAAACAGGCTGGCAATGAGAGAGAGAGAGAGAGAGAGAGAGAGAGAGGCTGGCAATGAGAGAGAGAGAGAGAGAGAGAGACCAAGTGGCAGGTTTAACATCCAATCAACACAAAATAGGTAATTTTGGGACTTACATATTATGGTACAAATTTCATTTCAATAATTTGTGTGTATCCGTACCCGGAGAAAACCATCATAGTTATGCAGGCAATCCTCCTCAAATACGAGTGTGGAATTAAAAACACACTACATAACTACATGACATTGTTCTTAAAACACACACCCATTAGATCATTTACCCCCACACACACACACACACACTCCCTTCAGCCAATGAAACGACTGCATTTTAATACATAGCTAAAGGCCCAATATTGCAAAATAAATGACAAATATAGATTTTAAAACCATACAAAATAACCCATTTCTATCAATAAGAATCAAAGCTAAGATGGTATCAAACTTCGACTTTGTTTTATTTGTTTAAATTAATATCAAAATGATGATTACAATGGCCACCTTTATTACTTTAAATTTAATAAATTTATTTTTATATCTAGTTATTGTGCTCTTTGAAATCAAGGAGCACCGTAATTCTGTAATTTAGATACCGATTCACCAGTAGGGAACTGGTAAACAGTGTCGACAAACAAACAAGTAACAATAACACAGTTTTTTACATGACAAAACAATAATGTTATTGTATGATCTTGTGCTCTCCCAAAAATTGAAAAAATAATGAACCTCCCCAATTGACATTTGAGATAAATTCATATTTAATCTGATTTAAAGCTTTACAAAGGATTCATTGTTATCAGCTTGTGGTAGACCCGTGGATGTCAGCTCACAGTGAATAGTACAAATATTCTAGATGTAATTGAAAGATGTTTTATGATAAATATGATCCTTTTTATATTTGATTAATAGAATTCGAGCCTATTATCCACATATTTTTGATATTTGTTGTGTATTACCTGTATGTAAAGTACTTGTCATAGGTGAGGTCGGTCGACTGTGATCTTCGGTTTGTTGATCTTCCTCATCAGATAAATAATTCTCCAAAAACTGAAAAGCTGCTGTAGTTACATTTTTACCTGAAAAGACCAGACAAAAAAACATTCTAGTATTTCCTTGTATGAATGAAACCTTCAGTCTCAAATAAATAATGATAAATTCTCAATTCTTATCATGAATAAAATTTGTACATTAAATTCATCAAGTGTGAGAAAAGTAAGTTCTATTACTATCTCTGCATCTTATACCATCCTGAATCTAAATCCGTTTTTAACTACCGGTTACATGTACAAATGAAATGAAATGGGGTTTAACATCCTACTGTTCTGTTTCAACTGGACTAATGAAGACAGACATACACCATAGCCTACAGTGTGCACTACGACCTACTCTTATATCGAATTCCAACTGCCAAGGGATCTTTTACATGCATGCCAATGTGTACGAGGGACTTCGGTTTTCCATCCCATCTGAACGACTAGACTGCCGTCCTCGTCGGGCCCTCTGTTCTGCACTACTGACAAGGGAAAACCACGCCTGTTAAACTTCCTCGTCCAACACCAGGATCGAAACCGCAACCTCCAAGCTAGTGAGCCAGCTTCTTACTCATTTAGCCACTGTGGCCCCTGTACATGTACAAGTCACATATGATTATTGTTAACCCTTTAGGACTTTGTACATGTAAAATTTTAATCTAGACCCCAATGCTGCACCATATGATTATAATGTATATAACATGACAAATACCAACACCCTTAAAGGAAGGACTCACAGATCTGATATGAAACCTCTTGAATATAAATAAAGGAAATCAGATTTAAATGACCTTCATCAAACACATCCTTAAGTTTCATATTTATATCACCCCATAACACATTCTACAGTAGATAACTTTCATATTCTACCTAGCGATAATCCCTTGGATATATCGTTTGATATCCGCTTGGCAATATCGTTTAACAGGAATTATATTTATTTATTTGTAGTTGGGTGATATAGAGAACCTCCTATTCTCAAAAAATATCAACACTCAATAAAGTAAATAAGAAAAGCTCAGCAAAGCCCCATTCTTTTTACGTTATAGACTTGTGTTAATGTTTCAATATTCTTTATATATTGTATAGTACCATCATGGACCTTACATAATACATGATAGTACTTTGTGTTTAAAAACACCACATGCAAAGTGACTATTTCTCACAAATTTATTATCAGATATCAGTGGCCTGCAGAAAAGGGGGTGATGACCACAGGCAGGCATCCATATCAGTGGAGCATCTAATCAAACATTGAAATTAAACTTAGGTCTGTTTAATTTGAAATCACTACTGTTAACTTTTTTCTACAGTTTGCCCTGTTTTATTAAAATAAAAAATATCATTTGATGTTTTTACATATTTAATTATAACAAAATGTCTCTCTCTCATATTTCTGTATACTCGGGACTATATTAGTACTTGAGTCTTTAAGAGAATATACTATTCAAAAAAAGTAGGGGATATTTGATTTTGGGGGCATAATACTAAAATATGCAAATGACTACGAAAAAAGTCACTATAGAACCTAACAGAAGAAACATTTCCAGTTACATGTGACGCCCAAACGCACCAATAGCTACCGCATGGAATGCAGGTGATGCTTGGGATCATCATGGGGGTCCAACCCAAGATTTGCACGACTCTGACTTTGAATGTTACAGTCATTGTGGCATTGAATTCCAGGGTGGAAACATCAGTTTAATTGTTTTAGTGACCAGAAAACAAATTTTGATATGCGTCGGCTTACCCAAATGAAAGGTTACGTGCCCTTGGCATACTACAGATCGGCACAACACAGGCGGTTGTGGCGCGGACGATGAATGTTTCTCAGTCTGTCATAAGCAGGCTATGGTCCAGATACTGTGATACACAATCTGTACAGGACAGACCACGCTCAGGTCGACCAAGGGCGACAACTCAAGCCCAGGATCGATTTATCCGTACCTTGGCCTTGAGAAATCGTGTCATCACAGCAAATCAGATCAGCGCTCGTCTTCAAACAGACACTGGTGTGAGAGTGAGTGGCCAGACGATTCGGAATCGACTGCTTAGGGGTCACCTTTGCGCCCGACGTCCTCGCGTGATCCCTTGTTTGAGAGATCATCACATTCAGGCAAGACGTCGTTGGTGTAGGGATCGTCAACACTGGGATAATCGACGCTGGAGCAATGTGATGTTTTCAGATGAGTCAAGGTTCACTGTTGATTTTTTGGACAGACGTAGGAGGGTGTGGCGTCGTCGAAACGAGCGCTTCCAAGACGTTAACGTCATCAGACATGATCGATTTGGGGGTGGTTCTGTTATGGTGTGGGGAGGCATCACTGTTGCTGGAAGAACGGCTTTACATGTTGTTGCAGGGCGTGTTACAGGCCAGTACTACCGGGACAACATCTTGGCAGTCCATGTTGTGCCGTTCGCACGACGTCATGGCCGCCGTTTCATCTTCCAGGATGACAACGCAAGATGTCACAGGGCCAGGATCGTTACAGGTTACCTCCAACAACAGAACATCACCACATTACCTTGGCCAGCACTGAGTCCCGACCTCTCCCCCATCGAGCATGTCTGGGACATGCTTGGACAGAGGTTACGTCAACGTCAACAACGTCCTGCCAATGTCCAAGAACTTGCTGCTGCGTTGCAACAGGAATGGGACAATCTGGACCAAAATGACCTTAGACGTCTCATTAGGAGTATGCCACGTCGGATCAATGCTTGTTTGGCAAACAGAGGAGGATTTACCCGTTACTGACTTGGTTGTGATGCTGTGGTAACTTTGCTGTTTGACCCCGGGTATCATTTTACCCTTATAATGGTCAGTCTGTGCCTTACTTAGTCTAACGATCATTTGGAATAAATCGATGAATGTGAACTTCATTTCATTTTGTCATTTGTTTCTTCGTCAGTTTCATTAGGTGACTTTAATAACACTTAAAAATCAAATATCCCCTACTTTTTTTGAATAGTATATATGGGAATCACGGTGGCTAAGTGGGTAAGGCGCTGGCTCGCTAGCCTGGAGGTCGGGTGTTCGATCCCTGCATTGGCCGAGAAAGTTCATCAGATTTTCCGGCGTGGTTTCCCCTTGTCAGTGATGCAGGACGGAGGGCCTGACAAGGACAGCTGTCTAGTCATTCGGATGAGACGAAAAACCGAGGTCCCGTGTACACATTGGCGTGCACGTAAAAGATCCCTTGACAGTTGGAATTCGATATAAGAGTAGGCCGTAGTGCCGCTGTCCGGGCAAAATTTCCCTCATAGCACACTGTATGGCGTATGCCCGTCTTCATTAGCCCAGTTCGGAGCAAAACAGTAGGACGTTAAACCCCATTTCATTTCATTTCATTTCATTTTTAAGAGAATATAATCAAGGGGTTGGCCTCGGGTATCACCAAATCTCTGCAGAAAGTGTTGATTTGTCTTTCGTAACATATAGAAGCATAAGTTCCTACTCATACTCTCTATTTCAATAAGAGAAATAAACAAACATAGACACTGGATCTGTAACTGTTTCTATATAATATATAGATTGAAATTGTGTTAATAGCGGTTTACATCAAAGATGCTTATTATAACATTAAGAGAAATTCTAGTGTGTATTTATCTAGTTTATTGGATATCAAATAAGAGGTACGTGTTGTCAGCTTGTAAGTATTTACTCATTCTAATCTCTTATAATCTTCACTGAAAATAGTTTGTTTACGTTTGGCTGAACCACTAATTACACCTGAATCATAGGTCAATATTGCTACAGGTGTGGCCAAAATACTCCACAATATAACTGACCACTCCACCTGACCCCTCAACACTTCCAAGTATTTGACTTGATAATTCTTCTCCTTTAAAATTGGTTTTAATGGTCGTCTCTTTCAAGGTCTCTTCAATAAATCAACATTTATCATGACAAGATATCAGTGACCACTTATCATCTCTGTTTTGGGTACAGAATGCTTGAACTATCCAGTGTTTAGGACCATTTAAACATATATGATGCATGAGCTAAATCTGCCTATTGCAGGTCTTTCTTTAGGCCTGACATTTTATCTAAATTATTAATTAGACATTAATCAACTTGTCCAGACCATGTTTAACTCTTGATGCCATCGTTAGGATGTGATATTTAGTGGATTTGAATACATTTTGTGATGGCTAATTTAACATAAAAATGGATAATCTTACTTAATGCCCCTTAAACTTGTTTTATATAAGAAATGTTTGAACTATGAAATGTTTAGACATGGGTGTATGAACCATTTGATTTTGGGGTGCACTGGTCACTGGTTCATCTTCCCAAATATCTCTATTTTTGCCCAAATATCACCAGGCACTGATTTAGCCAAATATACTAAGTTTTTTTCGAATGATATCAATATAAGTGAGATTCTTGGTAGGCCTACTATAGATCAGAATATAAATCTTGAAAAAATTGATTTCTAATATTCAAATAGTGGTCAGTGGAATAATTGCATTGATTAACCGATTTATGTGACTGTCTTGCTCAAGTTTTTGTTCGCCATGTGGGGATAGTTTATTGTCTTCATTTTTATTCACCAAAAGGAGTATTAAGTTAATACAATGTCCTAAAGTCCAAAATTGAGAAGTATCTGACAGATATTGTAAGACTGTTTTACCCTGGATTTATTGAGATGAGATATATAATTTTTTGTCTTGAATCTAAGTGTACCTTTAATTTGTCGAGTCCAATATCTACATATTACTATCATATCAAAACTTACATCTTCACCCTTTTATTAATCAAACAAACAAAATCAAGTCAACATATCATAGGTAATACGAACTAACATAATGGAATGTCCGTGAATGGGTTAAAGGGGATAATTTACTGGGTGTGACCTTCTATGGGTCTTGATGTACAATAAGAGACCATCACTTATCTTTCATTCTAAGCATTAGCTTACCGTTCACATTTTGTTTACGTCTTTTGATTACAGCTCTCATCAATTGCTTGATGGTTTCATACAAAATATTAGGAGGAGGATTATTTGTCATTACTCATCACAAGAAAATATTATTTATCATACACATAGTTCAATAATATTAGGTATTCAAATATGTAATACTAAAGTTATGTTCACAAAAAAGTTGGATTAGTGTGTAAAAAACTGTAATCACAAGAAGATATTAGTTATTCAAAGATTTAAATTGCATATGTTGGAAAATAACAAATTTCTCACAGTTTAATCCACACAGATTGATTATTTAACATAATTAAGAAAACAAAATCAAGATATCAATGGTGACAGGCAAGTTATAATATCATGACGTCATCTGACAATACGAAGATTTGTTTACTGGCGATTAGTTCAACTTTTACAAAATTGTTGTTTGCTAGGGCTTTATATATGGCTCAAATTATGCTAAGAAACTCAATAGTAAGGTTACGTTCACACTGATTTTTACTCAGAGGAATCTAACGGAATGACAAAGATGGATCAAATACATATTCACACTGAAACATTTATTTGAAGGGGTTATTGCTTAGTTGAATTGAATTAAAATCTGGTTTTTATTTTCTTTCTATTTATTCTGATGATCACTCTATTAACATCTAAAGACATATTAAAGGAAAGAGTGTTCTGGACAACTGCACAATAATGCCTTTATTAGACCTCCAATCAAAATGAAGTGGAGTAAAAAACTAAAAAATAAGGGGGGGGGGGGGGGAATAATATTGCTAAATTTTAATAAAGCCACGACATCAGGTCAATATTGACTTAAAATTTATTAGCACAGGCTGAGTTAATATTTGTGAATCATGATATATAATACCTATAACAGCAATCTAATTAAAAAACAGATCTATATTTCGTTTCATTTTTTTTTTATACTTTCGATGGGCCTACACTACATTAAGATCTGACCAGTTGTAGTGGAAGGTCATGTCAGGTGTCATACGAGCGGCTTTTGACCTTATGACGTCAGACATTGATTAATCAATCTGCGTTGACGTTTCTAGTGGTTTACTCAAAGTTCAATGCACCACACGCCAAGAACTTGCAATAACAGACCATTTCATTGGCTAAGCCCTCACATCATCCAGAACGCAGGTTATATAACAACTCTTCCAGATCCTAGTGTAGTAAAGACAAGTAAAAACGAAATTGTGAACTATAAAAAGCGAAACGAAATAGGATCTGTGTTTGAATCAGATTGCCTATAACAGGAATAAAGTTGAGGCAGATAAAGTTACCCTACATCCTTCTTTAAAGCTGCTAGAAAGTTTTCTAATCTAGTTATGATTTATCTTTTATAATGTTACTAGATGTGAGCTAGATTTTTGTTGTGTTTAAATATGTTAAAAATTCTGACAGAGTCATAGCCTCAAGTTACAGCTAACTATCTGAAGAAGTACAAACAGGTCAATCTGAGATTGGATTGGAGATTACTCATAAACAAGGATCTGTAGCATTACAAACAGTAACAATTGTAATTTTGGACATTATGTAGGAGTGACCGTTCTGCTCTATATACTATATAAGTATATTAATCACACCACTAGTAGGTATGTAGTGAAACTAGGTAAAGAATGATAATTGCTGTTCACACCTGTGAAATCATGAAGTATACACAATCCTTTCCTACAAGGTGTGAAATATCAGTAGGTAGGGATATCCTTATGTACTGTTCATTGTCTATATAAATAATATTAAAAAAAAACCCTGAAAGATCAGGACTCAAGATCATCTGAAACTTTTTCACACTTAACAAAGAATGTACACAAATTTTAATCTTTAACCCAGGGGATTTTACACAGCCACTTGTCATGATTTTTATCATATAAGGCCAAACCAGTTTAATTTTCAGTGCTTCTGGGTCAAAATGAGTAAATAGCTATTCAAAATATGTTCAAAACTTAAAACTTACAACAAAAGCTTTTTGAGAAGAGCAAACAACTATTACTTTTTAAATTGTTTCTGTTCGCCCTCCCCAAGAAATATGGAGTATTTTGGAGGAAGAAAAGTTCAGTGAGGCCTCATAAATAGACCTACATGGGAATCTTTAAGGGACTAATCATGACAATGTTTGCAGAGGTCAAGCCTAAAGGGCATGCATAATACAGCACTGTTAAATCCAAAAGGGAGATACTATTAGGACTGGAAAAAATCATATTAATTGTGCCTGAAAAAATGAACTAATACCTAAATTTTGTGCCGGATATACGTATCATAAACATTCATGAAAATATTGATAAAATCAGATCTATACCAGACAAAACAACACCAATGGGATTGTGCTTGACAATGTCTATGACAGTTCTCACAATTTTGAATTAACGTAGCTTAAACTAAAGAACATTCTTACCTTTAACATCTAAATCTTCAGATATTTCTGAGCGGTCAGAGAGTAGACTAGGTGATGCTGATAATAAATTATGCGATGTTGAGGGTATAGGTTGTAGTAAGGTATTAGAAGGTTTCTCTAGTTTTTCTGTGTTTCTTACTACTTCATCAGATTGTATAACTTCTGTCACTATAACATTGTCGTTAGACGTCACGTTATCAATATCTGCGTACACAGGTTCCGACACAGATTTAGCACTCGTGTATGCTCGAGGTTGGCTTGCAGCCGTAGCATTATCAACCTCATCTTCAATTAAATATTGCGCTGGTCTATCTGTCTTTTTATCGCGAACCATACTGTCCATTTTGGCTAGAATGGGATTATCACTTTCTTCCACATTTAAGTTTTTCTCAGGGACAGCATAAACATCCCCTTCATAAACATAATGGCGGACATTTGGATCATCTTCTTTACCTTCGTGATCAGAAGGTGTGAAGACCTGTTTTTCATCATCTGTGATATTTTTAACGGGTTTCACCTTGGATGCCTGAAGTTTCATACTATCAGTAGCTAAACCAGAATCGGTCTGAAATGCTTTGTTATCATAGCCAGTATGAATTGCTTCAACAGATTTCGACTTATTGCTCTTTTTTTGATTGTGTACTTCTGCTTTTGCCTCCCGTGATCGACTTGACCTTGAACTAGATTTTGTTTCTGCTGATTTATTAGTGTCCGTTCTTTTTCTACCAGCATGACGTCTCTGTTCTTGTGTTGCGTCACTTTTGCTGCGCGACACTTTCTTCCCATCTCGCTTTTCTTTTTGTTTTTTCCAGCTAGACGAAGGTTGTTGCTCTATTAGACGTGATTTCGAGTGATGCATATCTGGAACATAAAAAAACACAATTATTAATTACACATTTGAATCTGAAAAATCAAAATAAATGAAAAAATTTTGAGAATAATTTTAATACCCTAGCAAATAATTATTTTTCTTTATTTTCGTTACATGACCAGTACAAGATTATTTCTGGACCTGGGTGTCTATAATTCATTTATTTTATTTATATGCTCCTTGACTCACTCCCCCACCCCACCACACCCCCACACGTACTTACCACCATATTGGTATATATCTACAACATTAGGACCATGTGTTGGATCTATATATTCATAAACTGGTGATAATTGTTGACTGTGATATATACGTAAATTACTCATATTATTATTATTACTTTGATAAACAGCATGACCTGGAACTAAACAATACATTTATTTCAAAAGACATGTACCAGATGAATCAAATTGATAAGCTAGAAGATTGTAGATTCTTACTGGGTAAATAAGACGTGCATATACCATGCTGTATGCGATGAAGGAAATTATGTACAGACAATAGTTCTTCATCCTACTCTTATTTGAATTACAACTGCCAAGGGTTCTTTTACGTGCATGCACATGCAAATGAGGACACGGGACCTCAGTTTTTTGTACAATCCCAAGGATTAGCCACTGTTCCTTGCCGGACCCTCCATTCGGCACCACTGCACATGGGAACCACACCGAAAAATCCGAAGGAACTTTTTCTGCCAACACCGAGGTCGATCAAGGGACCTCCTGTTAAGTGAACCAACACCTTACTCCATAAGTCACTCTGGCTCCATAAGAGCCTTACAGAATGATGTGTTGCTAAAGATTTCTAAGCCTATATAATGCACTCTGTTGATTTTATTATGAGTTTCAATCGAAAGTACTAGCAATAGATAAAAATGTTTTGACAATGCATATTGCATATAGGTAGCCTAATATGCAACAAAATTCCTAATATCTTTCTTTCTTCCAGTTGACATTATCATCTTGGGATATTAAATTAATGTTTCGATATAAATAATTCATTTAATCTATAATCCCTACAAATTATAGCTCAAGTATACAGAATCACACATAAATTTGGGATTATTGATCATTGAAGCAGACTTGAGTCTTTCTAAATCATAAACTGTAAATTTATTCATGTTCTAATCATAAATGGTTATAAAACAGTAGATATCCTGTGTATTAACACTACTAAATAAAAGAAATAAAATAATATCACTCTTTAACTTCAAAGACTGGTTTTTAGGCTACATTAAATTTACTACTGTAAAACCTCAGGTCACCTAAGGCTAATGTTGTCATTAAATTCCATTCTCAAGATTACCTACAGGAAGACGACATGACATTAAAGTTGTTCACGAATATCATTATTATTATTTCTCATTTTATAATACAAAATGGACAAATGTTGGAGAGTTAGAAATATAAAATTGAAATATAAAGGGAAATTTTTAATATGATAAAGTTGTGATTTATAGAATTATATGTCGATGTTTGGAAGCAAATGAAAAGAAACACTTTAATTAAAATTACTAAATCTCAAATCTTAAGACAAAAGATCACACCCACTTTTAGGGAATTCTTCTTAAGCAATTTGAAAAAATAAAAATGTTTTGTCAAAATTTTTTAGGGTCTTTATATCATGTCACGATAATTGAAAATTATGTTTTAAATTTAACAAAATGTATAAGTCGCTTTCCGTATAAAGCAGGGGTCATAATGTTTTGCTTCCCCATCCTCCCACTTTTCTTTTACACCATGATACAGTGTGCCATGAGGGAAATTGTGTCTGGACAGCAGTATTTCCTTCTATTCTTCATCAAATTTCAACTGTAAGTGGTTCTTTAACACAGACATCAATTCGAGTACACAGGTGAAACTTAGCTTTTTGTCCCATCTGAATGACTAGACACCTTTTTCTTAACAGACCTTCCCCCATGCACATCTTTCAAGTGGGAAACCTGGCTGGAAAACACTGAGGAATTTTCTCAGCCAACCACTGGATCGAACCTGCCCAGGTCTCCTGGCTAGCAGCTCAATCCCCAACAAAGGGTTAAATATTAATATTTGCAATCAGCCTTGAAGCTTTAAGATAGAGAAATCCAAAATCAGTAATTCAGAGGAGTATATATATGTACAAGAATTACTCATGTGTACAGTATTTACATATGAATTAATAGTCTAACACCTTATACAAATCTCCTCACATTCACATTATTGAAAAGTTGTTCAACCACATATCGCTTCTAAAGTTGCAATTATATCTTCAAACATACTTATAAAATATGTTTACAAAAGATCAACTTATTCGGAGCAAGAAGCCTCTCTCACTTCAAAAGAAATTTAAACAATTTTCAACAGTCCTGTGAGAATTCACGCACATCAATTACAAATCAAGGCCGCTATGTATTCATCATTAATATAGGTAATGAAATTAGAACGTGCATCTATTCAAGTTTTGTGAGGAGGTAAATTATCTTAAATCTTTGGCCTGATGTATTTTATAACTTACTAAAGTGACATACTTGTATTTAAGTCTAACCCAGAAACACCCGTCAGACCACATTCATTCATGATTAACCACCAACCAAAGCTTTTAGAATTTAACAGAAGGGAAAACAAAAGTACATACTTGAACTTTTAGATTTAATTTCATTATTGAAATCAGCCACTTCACTGTATATACATTATAAATTATAATACCTTTATATATTAAATTGAAAGGTTCCCTTTAACTTTAGCTAATGTTTTATATATGGTTTTTGCTTTCTCATTTTTAAAAGTTTCATGTTTATTCATAAAAGTTAATTATTTATGGACTAAAATATTTTTAGATTTAATAATTAAAGATACATTATGGGAGATTAGATAAAGAGTTGGCAGTTTTCACTATAATAGTTAAATACTAGATAATGTAAAGGGAATTTGCTGAAAATTTCAGTCAAATTGATCCACTCTGAACCAAGATTTTAGTCTCGATCATCATTACTAAGGTCAGTCTTGATTATCCATTTCATGATTAAATTATGAATGAAAGTCGAACAGGAAATCGGAACCTTATCCAATAAACATCGCAAGCTAACGATGCCGTCGAGAGTTGATTATGGTCTGGATAAGTTAATTAATGTCTAATTAATAATTTAGATAACATTTCAGGCTAAAGATTTAGCTCTAGCATAATGTATGTTTAACTACTGTATATAATGTAAGGTATTTCTTTTCAATTTGCTTGCAGAAGAATCTGTTAGATAAAGTTGCTATAATAGATTGTATCATCCCAAAATGAATAGGTTATTGTTTGTCAGATGAAGCTTCCATAACCTTAGTTGATTCCTAAACTTCTTTTTTATTATGACTAGAATCCATATAACCCCTAGACTAGATTGTCCAAACTATTGTAAGGTCTTGTTTGTTTGTTAGATGAAGCTGTCATAACCTTCTTGGTTGATTCCTAAACCTCTTTTTTATTATGACTAGAAAGCACATGACTCCTAGATTGGATTGTCTAAACAATTCTAAGTTCTTTGTTTGTCAAGGAACCATAATATTCATGGTTGATTTCCTCGACAAGCTTCCAGTATGACTAGAAAGCTTATAACTTATAACGCCCAAATGTTATCATCAAATTCTAATTTGTGCTACTTTTCGGCACCAACCGGGCTAATGAAGACAGAGTGGCTTTTTGCTGAATCTTGTAAATATATTTTCAGTACTTACAAGGTGCTGGAGGTAGTCTGGCTTCAGATGATGCTCTGTGAACTCCTGGAGGATATGGTCGGCCATAAAAATAGGCAGATGAAGGAGGGGGGTTTGCATACACCCCTGGTGTTCCCACCCATACCCCATTACTTCCAACTTTAGGAAGTCTGTCACCACTTATGTGACTCATAGTTGAAGCCTGACTGTGACTGTGACCTTGCTCTGGATGTCGAGTTAAATGGTGGAACTTCTTTTCCTGCCTCCGTCTTTTATTTCGGGGACTGAAAATAACATTTAACTTAGAAATAAATCAAGTAAAAATAAAATTTCTAATCAAAGCAGAACCAGATTTTTATTGCTGCCAGAGTTTGATACTTGGGTGCTTCAAATGAAGCTTGATCCAAAGGGGTGGTAAGTACCTTAAAGTGGCAAAGGTATATATTTTTTCCTGAAGAACTCTTCCAGATCTATTGTTGTGAAGATGAATAAAACCAAATTTTTAAGTGTTGAATCAAAATACTTATTGAAAGATGAAATTGAAAATCTTTGTGCTGCAGACTTCTTCTCATTTGAATAACATGGCCTGTACACATTTCTACAGATTTTATTATCATAAAGCCATTTATAACCTCAAATACGTGCAAATTACCCTTAAAAAGCTAAAAGGACAAGGAAAAGATCAATTTCTAATGGTGGTTTCTAAAGAAATTAGCAGAAGACGAAAAAAAGCAAACAATGCATCTGGTTGTATTTGCGTAACAACAAGTTAGAACACATTATTGATTGATCAAGCCATAGTGAACGGCGCTTTGCGGTATTCAGTAAATGAGCTTTTTATGTCTCTTAAACACCCAATAAAAAAAATTTGTTGAAAAGATCTAAAACAAATATTCTCTTCAGGGTAAACCCACAATCTTGAGAACAAGTTAATCGTTTATTTCAATTAGCTAAAAGATTATTTTCTTTTAACCAACATCTTAGACACACGTACTTATAGATTTAATTCACATTACATTTTGGTGCTGGCACTATTCAATTGCTCAATAGTTTGCTTGCACTGGTGCGAAATCGGAGCTGAACACCGACTTAATGATCACAAAAACAATTACTCCTTTAAGAGATCATTGCTTTAAAAATGATGAAACCTCTTTGATTTGGGTCCAAATAAAAACTGTCACTACTCGATTGCTCAATAGTTTGCTTGCACTAGTGCAAAATTGAAGCAGAACACTGATTTAATGATCACAAAACCATTAACACCTTCAAGAGATCACCGCTTTAAGAATGACCAAACCTCTTTGATTTGGGTTCAAATAAAAACTGTCAGTTACATTGGACTGCTTTGTAGGATAGTTTCTCTGATTAAATATTTTTTGTGTTGCCATCGATTAAAATTTGATTTAGTTTTTGACATAAAAGGTATAGGATGTTAATGACAGAAACTTCTTGTTATTCTATTTTAGGGTCAAGGTCATTGAACATACAGGTAACATATAGGTCACATGCATGTAACACAGACAGCTCCTATGAGATTTAGACTGAAAAAAATCATATGCATACATGCGTCTAAGGACATGGTTTCAGTTCCACCCTCTCTTAGCAAATACATACAATTATCAAGGCATCGTGAAAAGATCTGCTGATCTCTGATTACCCCATCCCCTGAGTAAATATTACAGTTATATGCAACGTTTCTACCATGCTATGATTGTAATAGTTCACACCCCATTCGATAACAAAATGTATAAAAGACATATCGTAAAGGATAAGCTTACCCGATTTAACAATAATATTGAATTTCTACAACAGCATCTCGATTATTGACATTGTTTGAGAATCAATGTTATGAATATCAATATTAGTTATTCTATCAATCGGATCTCAACTATTTATATGTTTATAAAGAGAATAAGGATAGTGGCAAGGTGGAGCTTTAACCGGTAATATAATTACAAGGACATGTTGAGAAATTAGTAAAAGGGCATGGTTGAAGGTACCCATGCACTGCAAAAAGTGAGCATGCATCAAAAGGTACAATAAACAATAAGGCCACACTTATTAAAATTTTGCTTCTAATTTTCAATTTTTGAAATTTTATGGGACTCAAGTGGCTATTTATTTATTAAAACCCAGAAGAACTAAAAACTACTTTGGTATGGCCTAAACAGTCATGTGCCAGAAATAAGAAGGCTGGCGTGCACATTCCATCTCTGGATTCGCACATGATGCAATGAATGGATATTTTAAGACTAAACTATTTCTTTATTAACATGTACACAAAAACATGTCGTGAAGTACATGTACAATGATAATAAACACCAAAGGAAATAACTGTGTGTGCTATTATGTTTTTTAAAAAAAAAACAGTGATGTCTCGACCACAAAGTTATTCTGATAAGATGGCTTTGTTTTCAATATTCTGTGCCCTGGGACATGATTTGCAAAGTACAGGGTCTACCAGGGATTATTTTTATTTAAAGATCAAAACTAGTGTGATTTTCCTGCCTGTAGAATGGCTCATATACGGTTCAATTACACTCTATAATGGAGTCTGGATCGAAACTCCAATACCCCAGGAATATACACAAGATTATTTTGGATCTAGTTATTGGCTTGGACAAATCTAAAGTTAATTCAGTGGACCCTGACATAATGGGTATAAAGATCTCAAATTGGGGATTATACATTATATGAAAGGAGGATTCTAATGTGAAATTAGTCGCCCTCTTTTCCCTCCTATTGTTCTTCCCCAATTCTCCAGTTTTGTCCATACATAGATTAATCAGAAACTTTAGTAACAAACCAGGTATGTCCTACAATATGTCAGTGTCAGGACAGAGTTCATATTAAAGGAAAAAACACATTTGATTAATGCGGATTTTCCTGTTTAATTATGTGATACTGGCATTAATTTCCAAACATGAAATTTCACTTACCCACATAGCATATATATAATAAGTGATACTATAGCAATGAAAACAATTAATCCTCCTACAGAACCACCTATAATATAACCAATTTCAGCATTATCAGCCATCTTTAACTACCTGTAAATAACAGAAAGAAAACATTAATATTTAACAATAAACAATCAATATTACAATGTAATTTTTTTTTTTAGAATACTGGAAAAACCTCTGTTGCCATATTTAGAAGAAATATGATCACATTATGCTGTAATATTATTTGAGTGGTGATAGAGAGATTGCATTGTCTTATGTATTAGTCAGTAGTCAACAACAAAAAAAATAACAAAAAAAGACCAAGAATAATTGGCTATGTTTATTTGCTGTTAAAATCCTTCAACATAATCTTTTAAGATTATAATTATTTAAATGATCTGCTGTAATTTGCATATAATTTTTTATGATCATATAATTGTTAAGATCATATTTTTAATATTAATATAATGACCATAGATAGCTTCCTGGGCTATACAGGTAGGCAAACATTTTTTTTCCTGATATGAGTTATTGTATTATATCCCTTGTCTTAATTATTGTTATACAGTATTAGATATACTGCATTTATTTATTATACAATACATCTTATAAATTATTACTAATATGTTAAATAGGAAATATTTATATATTCACCAAGTTGTATACAATACTATTATCACATATTTAGTAAGTACCCAGTAATATGTATCCATGTAGTTAAATATATATATTGTATTAAGTTATGCATTTGATAATTATACATGAAGTAGATTCAGTAAAGTTATGCATGTATGTGAGTTATGCATGTATATTCAGTAAGTCATTTATCAATGCCATATACATATAACATTATAACATAAAACACAGAAAAATGTCTAGGTTTTGATAACACCTGTAGTGACAGTTATAACCATTTCTGGACAATTACAACATTTATGTCCCTGCCAAAATTCCAAATGACACTCTCTTTAATGTAAAGGAGAAATAAATTCAACAATTCTGACTTTATGATATTAACCCAAATATAAAGAATGTTAATTTTTTATTTCAAAATCTATATCATGCTGAGAAAGCAAGCTGTGATTTTTATTAGAAGGTGAAAAATGGTTGTTCCCCAGTCAACCTACAGATAAATGGGGTCACTGACATATTTGATCCACTTATCCAAGTCACACTGAAAACTTTTTCTGTACTGTTTTATCAACAAATTAATAGCTTAATTTGACATTGTAGTCTGCTTCAAATTTTCAATAGTACCATGGATTTGCCACTGATCAAATTCAAGAGTTTAATGCATGTGTGTGAAATCACAAGGTCTGTCATTGAGTTAAGTGGCATGGTTTCGATTCCCCGCTTGAACGTAACAAGGAGTAGGATCATCTGTCCAACCTCTTGGGTTTTCTCCAGGTCCTCTGGTTTCCTCCCACTGCTAAAGACCCCTATGCACAAATGAATTATTGAAATAGAATTGAACCATAGTATGTTAGTTCCAAAATGACCTAAATTGTGTCAAGTGGATTTTAAACCCCATTTCTCTCTCATTAAGTTTGGCACAGATGGACATCTGTGTTCCATCTCATCTGAACCACTAGACAGTTTTTCTTGCCAAGCCCTCATTCTTGCACCTCTTATACATGTTTTGAGGAAAGCTGGTTGGGAAATCCAGAGAAACTTTTTCTGTCAAGACTGCAATCTAAACCATTAAACTCTTGATTATTGGGCCGGCACCATATTCAATGAACCACCGTGGAGGAGAACATTCTTACATTAAATAGATACAATAGGTAGTCTAATTACTACATGGAAAGAACTTCAACTTCAGTAAAAACACCACTTATCTTATTCACTTCCAGCAATTTATACAAACATCAATTTCGTTAATTGTTTTTCTATTCAATATCTCTTAGAGGTTTAGGTTGACAACTTAGACAAGAGTGGACACAGAAAACCTTTAACTACTTGCAGATGACATCATTTCCTCAGAAGAACATCATAACTTTGGATACATAAATACTGAATGTCAATCGTGGAATTTAACTTCCACTGTCTGTTGACATTCTCAGGCTGCATTCAATTCATGCAGCAATGCATAGTCATCTGCTTAAAATATCTGTTGATTAAAGCCATTATGTCTGTGACATAGCAGGTAACAAGTTCCCCTCCTGTTGATGGCTTGATCGATATTATCAATAACGTCCTATATTTACCGTAGTCTTCACTAATCGTCCCAACAATTGATCATCAAATGTTTGACGACCCTCTATGATGTTTGTTCACAGACTAATTTTACCAGGGAAATAGGTTACCGTTATGGTAATTATTGGCTTTGGCTAAGGGGGTTGCAGACGGATGAGCTGTTCTGCCATTTTCTCACTCTGAAGTCACACCAACCAATCATACAGTCTTTGTCAAAAGGAATTAACTTCTTAGCATAAAACTATCATATAAGGAATCATTGATTAAAGATACATTATGGGAGATTAGATAAAGAGCTGACAGTTCTCACTATAAAAGTTAAAAACTAGATAATGTAAAGGGAATTTGCTTAAAATTTCAGTCTAATTGATCCACTACTAACCGAGAATTAAGCAATTGAAATTTCAGCCTAGCCTCGATCATCATTACTAAAGTCAGTACGATAAAAAACATAGTCTCGAATGTCCATTTCATGATTAAATCATGAATGAAAGTTGAGCAGCTAATAGGATCATAATCGATGACATAGAGAGTTGATTATGGTCTGGATAATTTAATTAATGTCTAATTAATAATTTAGATAACATTTCAGGCCTAAAGATAGACCTGCAATAGGCAGATTTAGCTCTTGCATTATGTATGTTTAAGAAGATATGAATATATGTTCACGGTTTCAAACAATAATCAACAAAATTTAAAAGTACAAATAAAATAGCCTTTGCAAACCTTTAATATACATCATTTTGCCTTTGGAATTTTCAAAGAAAACTAGATGTTTACCTTCGGCATGGAATTTTGTCCATTAACCCATTACCACTTAGACCGCCCCAAACTAGAACTAGCGCTCCTTAGATGACCCTAAACCACTCTGTCACTCCTGCAAGAACTAGTAAATAGTCCTATAATACGAAAAGTTATTCACTTTTCTCTAATTTTTTTCAAGCTCAAGGAACTCTGTTAGTCAATATTTACATGTACCAAGTGCTAAAGGCATAATGAAAGGACTAGGATGTGTTCAATATGCATCCAACTAAAAATTCATTCAAAAATATACTATACTTAAGTTAAAAAGTAAACTAAAGCCATACATTAAGGTAGAATGGTATCTCTGAAACTTGATCAACATTAACACTTTCTGATGATTATCAATATAAGAAATGTAAAATTGAATAAACAGTCATGAAAAATGTCTCATGAATAAGATAAGTACCAGTACATGTAAATATGTAAGCCCAGTACAATATAAGTAAAACACTTCAGTATTTGTGTCTTTTTTAAATGTCTATCTATGTCTGTATAAGTAATGTTTGTTTATTTTGCCCCCAAGGTGCACTTCCTTGATGATCACTTGATGTAAACACTATGATGACTCTATCAAGCTAGTATTTAATCAAAAGAACAGTTTGACATGCCTCATTCTGTATTTAAATTAACTCATATATATTTGGTAAGGCCTACAGCTTAATTTTAGAATGTCTGATTAGATCTGTGTTCTGATGCTTGATAATTTTAAAATAATTTGAATTTAATATAATAAAAATATGAGTCTTAAGTAAAGAAAGAAAGAAAGGAAAAAGGGAGCCACAGGGGTTCAGTGAAAATGGTCAGCCAAGAAAAAACCAAGGCAGCACATTAAGGACCCTTGAAATAAGAGTAGTCCATACCACATTGCATGGTGTTTGTCCTTTTTCATTAGCCCAGCCAGCATTTGGTGAAGAAATGTAAGAAGTTCAATTCCATTTCAATTCCATGCCATATTCTAAGTAAAATATGGTTTTAATCAATACTGAGTAGAAAGAATATAAATCACAGAACTGGTAGATCAATATCATAAAGGCCGAGATTCCTGACATTTATAAACCATATGTACTCAAAATCATGTAACAAATGCATAGATTAATTAAACAGATAAACATCTAAGAATCCTCAAATCAACTAAAATTAAATAGCCTACTAATTATTCGAAACAGCCATTGTACTTTTCAATGTAAATACCTTCATGTCAACAGCACCTTTAGGTGTGGAGTCAGTTTGTATTATTTAAATTATTATTTTTGCCACTTCCTGACAGTACATAACTCAACATTTTTAACATTAAGCTCCTTGCAAAAATGTTCATAAGGAGTGGCACCACCTACAGCATTTCAGTAATTATACATTTGGATACGAGAAGAGGAACGGCAACACTCCCATGACAAGGTGACTAAAGTTGGACAGGCTGAAACATCTGCGTGGATACTGGATCAAGAAAAAGATACCGGCGGGGCAGAGGAGTAAATAAAATGAATTTAAGGATCCCCGCTCAACAGTAGCACAAAAGACTTGGTAGAATTGAAGATTGTTTAATGAATAACGTTTCAGGTTTTTCAAATTATAACATATAATAATCCTGTGGCGCCTTATATACAACAAAGGTTGCGACGTCACAGGATTTTGTGGCTCCATCCTTTCTGATAGCTAGCATACATCACTCTTTGACATATTGTGTAGTAAATATGACCAACAATTTTGTAAATAAAGCAAGCTGTTTGTTTTATCATGGACCTTATAATATCCATGGTTTTAGCTGTTTGTTTTATCATTGACCTTATAGTATCCATGGTTTTAGCTGTCTATTTTATCATGGACCTTATAATATCCATGGTTTTAGCTGTTTGTTTTTTCATTGACCTTATAGTATCCATGGTTTTAGCTGTCTATTTTATCATGGACCTTATAATATCCATGGTTTTATTAAGTTTGAAATTCTATACACAACCCATATTTTTTATGCACATATTAAGCAATGAACCTGTTAATCTTTATGGAACTAAAAGTTTTTGTAGGCACATATCATGCAATGAACCTAATCATTAAAAAAATGAAATATGATCTTTATTGAGTGTTTGCAATTTAATAGTTCTATCAATACACCTTATGGAAAAATCAATGAAAATCATCAAATACACAATGGTCGTTGTTGGGTGTAACCACACAATCAATATTACATGTATACAATATAAAAAAAATCTTATACGCCTGTCAGTGCAGGCTGTATAGATTTCGCTGTGACATAATAATAAATCATCTTATTTCCGTTTAGGTATGTCAAGTCAGTTTATATATGTTGAGTTATCAATATTTCAATATATTTTCATAGAGCTATAGCAACTTGATTTAAAGGGCGTATGGCTCTATTTTTTTGACCTTGAAACATATGAAAATGGTTCTATTAATGTAATATGAATGTACGTAAAGTGATTTATATTCAATGTCTGAAACAAAAATTGTAATTTCTTATCAATTATATTCAGTGTAATAGTCTGCTTAGTCCATTATACGCGTTTTTTATTATTATTTTACTAATTACTTCCACATGTCTTGTAGGATATGTTTTTATTTGTTCATTACAAAATGTCATCCGAAAACATAGAATACATGACTCATGTACTGATTATAAAATGTTAATTATGTCTTAAATATTGGATATTTGTTGATAGAAATTAACCAATATTGAATTCTAATTCGTGTTTTTAATTTTGAATATTATGGAAAATATTAAGTTAGAGACTTAGCGTCTTTAACTAGGCTTCTGTACGTGGAATGAATAAATGAAATATGGTGTAATGTCCTACCTTTCTGCACCAACTGGGTCAATGAAGATTGCTATACACCATGCAGTGTGCTACGAGGGAAATTTTTTCCTCCAAAACTGGAAAATCCTGAGGACTTTTCTCTGTTAATTAAATCCAGGAACTCCTGGCTAATGAGCCATTGCCATACTCAATGAGCCGCTGTGGTTCTCAGGCTTCTGTGGTTCAGCAAAAATAAATGCCCAATGACATGATTTGGCTGTTTTTCAGTGGGGAACAATTGGAAGTTAAAATCCATTTTCCACACCACAAAATTTATTCCAAAATTAACATGACTGAATCAATTCCACACTACAAATCTGTGACAGATGAGTTATATAACATTTGGACAGTAGAAATGGTCTGATCAAGACAGACAAAATTTTTGTACAATTTTCTTTGAAACAAAGCTACTGGGTGATCTACTGCATGATGTTCAGTCCAGACAGTAAAGATGTGAATAAAGTCTTTGTGTAGGAGTGCAATACAGTGTTCCTAAATCATCCAATTTAAAATGATTTGTTGAAGTGTCAAGACCCACACTTGCAATTTACCAACTGCTGTGCAATTTTCTTGCTGTAATGATGAAGCCAAGTTTTGTTTACATTTTGATCAGGAGATACATCAGTTTAAGTACAAAAAAAAGGCTTGAAACAAAATCACCCGATAAATTTAAAATTTTACAATCTGAACCTACAATCAAAGAAACCAGTACACAGAAAATGATTGTAAAAAAAGAAAAAGTTCCAACCTCTTGATGTTTCTGCCATATTGTCATGATTGGTGTTTAAAATGGACATTGATTATATTGGTAGAAGAATGGTGTAACCAGTTTAACCTCAAGTCACTTCATGTTGATTTAAGTTGTTATTGTTTATTGTTGTCTTTCTTAGGTCAACAACTACCAAATATTCTGTACACAAAAACCCATGTAGGTCAAATAACAGTAAAATCTAGGTAACCCGCCTTTAGTTTATTTCAAGATAATATATATTATGTACATCTGTGACAGGTCATATGGTAGAAATAAACAAATTTAAACCTGCTATATTTTATCAATCTGGATTACACTGTTGGAGAACTTTGTCAAGACAGACACAGTCGCATAACTGTAACAACATACACTGCCTACCAGACACTAGTGACCAATTCTTGAAGCACTTCCTGGGAATATAAGGCTAGATAACAGAATATGTCCACCAAACACTTTACCCGTGCAGTTTTTAAGGGTTGGAGATGGTGGACAGGTTCTCAAATTGCTCCAAATATAATACTAAAGGTCTTGGTACACTACAGACCAAGACTCTCCTTTATTCCAATTGTGTATTACCATGGACCTTATAAGGTCCATGGTATTACCAGAAAGTATGGAGGGTAACCATGGCGACAGTTTTAATGGTTTCTGCACCTAAAATTTGCTTATTAAGCTTACCATTATCTTCAACAATTGCAAAACCAAGTTAATAAGTTCTAGTTCTTCAAGGTCTTGAATCAACAACATTTTTTTTTGTTCAGTGGATGTTTATTATCAAGACTCTTGATAATAAACATCCACTGAACAAAAAATGTTGTATTTTTTAAACTAAACACATTTATAGAAGAGCAACCAAGTGATTTTAATTGGTGTTCCCACAGAACAAATTAATAAATATAAATCTTTCAAAAAACATTTTTTGTCATCATCATTACTACTCCCTTTTTTATACTATTCAAGACACAGCTTCTATAATGAGCAAAAAGTACTGAAATTAAATATTGTTGAAACTGACTAGATAGTCTTATTCTTTTATAAATAACATTATAGATGGCAGTTTTGTGAAATGAATATTTAAAGTGGCAATATGTTTGTGCAAGCCAGAATAATTTGTGCCATAAATAAATCTTTAATGATACTAATTGTTGAGTATGCATATTAATTCTAAAATTATAACACTTTAAGCACCAGTACTTGTAATAGTCATGAATAAATTCAATTGTTGATCTCTCTATAATATGACTTACGGTCAACAAACACTATTTTGTTAGCAAACCAATATAAGAATTAGAGTTTTCAAAAGTCACATTTGAGAAATATGTAGGTTTGTAAGATTAAATAGTTTGTTGATGACCATAATATAGTATGCTTTAACCCCAGGCAAAGATTGGACTTAGTTGGTTTCAATAAACCATATAACAATATAATTTCCTCTTTAAGGCATGTATTATTTAAGAATAAACTATTTAAGGCATGTATTATTTAAGAATAAACTATTTGTCAACATTGTATTTTAGTTAAAACTGGAAAAAGTCTCATGGGGATGATACATTTTTTGCCTCAGTGATCTATTTGTAATATTTAGGTTGGAAACCTATTTTCCATTGTTACTTACATGCCCTGCCTACATGTATATTTAAATGTCATGATAAAAATTAATTCAATATCAATACAGGTTTTTAACATAAGTAGGAAAGGATGTTATATATTTAGTTAATGTTCCATGTAGAAGTCAGAAGAAGTTTAGACATTAAAAAAAATAAAATAACATGTCTGAGAAGATTTATGAGGTCAAAAATACACAACTTTTTATCTTCTCATCCCCAGTTTTCCCTCATATAGTGGTTGTCACATCACAAAAACTTGTTTATTACTAATCTAACTTTTTGCCCCCGGATTCATGTACATGTAAGTAAAGTGAGTAGGCCGGTAGATTCTTCATAAAAGTGTTAAAGTGTTTCTGTTTGAGAAAATGTTTCTAAAATGAATCACAGTGATCAGATTAGAATATAAGACAAATTTAAATCTAAAGAGTTTCTTTATTTATTTCACCCACAAATATACCCAAATGTTAAACCCCATTTCATATTATATACCCTGATATCAAAATGACTAATACCAAGATAATTTGTAATAATGTTTGCTGTATTAAAAGTTTCTAAAATAAACCTTATGAATCAGATTTAAAATTCTAATTTAAACAGGTTTGTTATTTGTAGGAAGAAAGAATAAAGATTCACCCACAAAATCTGAATATTACAAGATAATCTTTATAAAAAAAATGTTTACTTTGGATGAAAGGTTCTAAAATATGGTTGATCAGATTTAAAATTCTACTTTAAATGGGCTTGTTTATGTGAAGAAAGAAAATAAAAAAAATTTCACCCACACTTATTTTACATAAAAATTTTAAGATCTAAATACATGTAGGTAATCATTTACTATATCATGAAAACAATAGGATTGTCTGTATCTGTTCTTCATGTCTAAAGTTGATTTCATTTGTTTTCCTTAATACTATTAATACAATACTCTCTTAATACTCTTTTTCGTGCATCCACACCAGACTGTCTCTCTTGTGACTTCACGATCTGCCAAATCTTCCAGTTAGTTTCCCTTTTTGGAGCCATGGATTTACCTTCAGCTTATACTGATCAACATAAAACAAAAGCGTCTGGTCCGGCAAATGATCATGACTAAATTGGATGACATGGTCTTTAATGAGTGGTGTTGACAAATAAAATGCTTACTCGCACAGAATAACTTAACATCCATTACACGATCATTTAAATGTTTAGGTAAATGTTAGTTTTGCGGCTGGCCCGACCACCCCACACATCACATCATGCAAGACGGATCAGACGAGGAACAGTATCCAAATATAGCAACTGTTTAAAACAACTAAGATGGCTTTACGAACAAATGTGGGTGTTTGTTGCGACAGAGCAACAAATACTTGTCATTTCCAAAATAATGATTACACACTTTGCGTTCAGGAATTAAAACCCAATATTCAAGATATTCTTTCACCATCGATGATGCGTAGCTTGTGAATGTTTTCACTATTTAAAGGTTGAAACTACGGAAGAAGAATTTTCGTAATTATTTTCCTTCATGTGCCAACATCAAGACACAGTAAATTGTGAAATGGATGTTTGTTGATGATTTGTTAAAATAAATATTCTACATTTTTGTATGTGGTTGTTGACAAATACATAGCTGCTGACAGATTTTAAAATGGATTCAGGGCACAATTGAAGATGTCTGCCATGAATGTCAGGAAGACAGAGGTCTGCAGGCTGTTACATGTACATGTATTGTTCCTGATTCCTGTCCTTCATTGATTTATTGATTCCTATACATGAACTGAGAAAAAATTGCCATTGACTTTTATATACCTGGCTACATTATTAAAGATAAGTTGCCAGGCAACGAAACATACGCCCACAGCAGGTAAATCGTCTGAGTGGTCGACAAGGGTTGTCGCATTCTTAGGGCATTTACAAGACAATTTCATACAGATCAGATTATAATTTTCATCGTTTGAGGGTTCACAAGTTTCTACAAACTGAAAGAAGGGCCTTAACTCTGGAAGTAATATACAGAAATTGTTGAAATTTGACAGGCTTTTGTTTTACTAATTCAAATAATGCATATAAATTTCATACAGATTGGATGATAACTTTTGTCATTCAATCGTTCACAAGGTTCACAAAAAGTAAAACAAATGATGCATGTATATTTCATTGTAGATCAAATGATAACATTTGTCGGGTCAAGCAATGACAAGGTTCGACAAAGTGAAACAAGGGCCATAATAAATGCAATAAAAGGAGATTGCTGAAATTCAAGAGGCTTCTTCGTTTCACTAATTTAAATAATGCATATAAATTTCACAAAGATCGGATGATATCTTTTGCCGTTAGAAGGTTCACAAGGTTCAACAAAATAAAACAAGGGCCATAACTCTAGACATAATAAACGGAAATTGCTGAAATTCAATTGGATTCTTCTTTTTATAAATTTAAATGATGCATATGAATTTCATACAGATCGGCAGATATCTTTTGATGTTAGAGCGTTCACATGCAAGGTGCAACAATATGGAACAAGTCACTAAACTCTAAAAGTAATTAACGGAAATTATTGAAATTAAATATAGGCTTCTTCATGATAACTTTTTGCGTTAAAGTATTCACAAGAAATTGTGGATGATGGACAGACGGACGGGGGCGATGGCAATGTACGCCCACATATGTTATTCAAATGGTTTTGGATTCCTCTCTCTATCTGGATTCACATTTGCATGTGGGCGTATAAAAATGATTTTGCCAAAAAAAAATATAAACCAAATACCTGTAATATACCCCTGGGCTTTTGGCACATTTGCTATCCCTTTTGTTATCAAAAAAAATTTGATCCATCAAATCCTATCAAAAAACACTAAATGAAAGATTGTTAGTTGATAATCACCCTGGGCAGTTGGAAAACCAATCATATTATTTTCCTTGCTCTGATCAAAAATAGCTACAGTGCCAGGATAAGTTGGCATGTTTGGTTTTTACTTGATTAAAATAGTTGTATTGTTTTGCATCTGTATACACTAGCCTATTATATTCCAGCATACATGTACATGTACCATAAGACAGAACAACACAGTTGCCATACATGTGTCCAATATATCTGATAACTTGTTTCCATTTGCATTCCCTTTTCTGTCTTTCAACATGCAACATATTTTAGTTTTATTCAGTACTCTCTCAAATTCTTTGTATGTTTTATTTGGATGTCAGTATACAGAGCTCATGCTGTTGATCGCCATTTCTGCTTATTGCAATAAAAATATCAATTGGGTGATAAGATTTCAACTAGGGCACTTTTTTATGTGGAAACTTTTTCTTTGTGGTGATAGATTTCTAAGATTTGTTTATTCATCATATACTGATATTCAAAGAGTTGAATGAATCTTTGTGGGAGCATGGAAACCATATCAAGGTTTTGAAGCACTATCATTTTGAATTTATGTTTGACTTTTGCAGAGAGTGCCATTTAATTTGTATTCATGACTTAAAAGGCCAATACATTTTAATTATTCTGGGTCTTTATAAATAAATAGCACCTCGAGTATGGTGAACAAAGTTTTGTTTAAAATTTCAAATTAAATGCTTTAGAGAAAAGCAACCAAGTCCTTTTTGCATTTAAGTTAGTTTTTTCCCTAAAGAAAATGGAGGCATACTCAAGTATTCATGAAGAGCAAATATTCAATAGTTGTGGCCTAAATCATTATTATTGTATATTAATGTATATAAAGTACATGTAATAATAGATTACCACCATTTACTTTTCTAACGAATTTATTTAAGTTAAAATAAACCCTATTGTAAAGAAATAACCTTTCCACTCAAGTTATTTCAAGTCATGTCAGTCAAGTTTACCATATAATATATCTATTCACTATTGACTATTACCTATTATTCAATAGCCATATATATATATATGTTTATAGTTATAATAAGTACAATATAAGTACTGTAAATAAAAGCGAGATTAAAGTATACATTTAATACAACTTATTTACCACAAAAGAGGTATTAATGAAAGAATAAATACACAAGGATTAGATTAGGTTTTTTTTAGCAGAAAAAAAAGTCAATTTATTTGAAAGAAAGGAATGGAATTTAGATTTTTTCAACATTATGTTTTTCAAAGAAAAATTTGGCATACGATTACTAGCAATATAATAATAATATTAGAATAATTTAAAAACAGATTAAATAGGGATTGAAAAAAGACCCTCTCATCCATAATCCCATCATGCACCCCAAACATTTTAACATTACTTCTCTTTATTCCCCAATCTAGCTATAAGAATATCGCTACCCAATTCTGATGGATACAATATTCACATATACATGTATATGAATTTCAGTTATCAACTTGACGAGAAGATTGACAATTAGATTGAACATTTGTTGAAGCGATAGTTGCATTATTTTTATATCTGTTGGTCATGATATCACTTTTATACAATCATAGGAATCATTCTGATATTGTTGTAATATAATAACACTGAAAATAAGTGCAAATTTAGCTCTCTTGTTTTCTATAGCGTTCCCCCAAAGCAAATTTCAAACAAAAACGTTTGAGTTTCAACTTGAAAATGAAATATATTTGCCAATTCCACAACTGACAACAGTGAATTATAGGATTATTCTAAACAATGTAGCACTGTGTTGATTCCATTTGTTTTAAAGCTTTATTTTAACATATTTCAAAAATATGACAATGCAGCTATCACTTTAATTTAGTTCACTGCGAAAACATACTACATTTTACAAATTCTACATTTACTATTTTACATAAATTAATGCTTTGAATTCAATATTTTACGTGAATTAACATGTTTTGGATTAAGTCTACAATAGTGGTAAAAAGCATCATTTCATACATGAAGTATCAAGTCAGCCACCTGTACATCGTTTAAATAACCCATTCACATGAAATTATTGTCATGCTTCTAGCTACCTTCTCTTCTCAAAGTTTTTAATAAAGAAATGTTTTTGAAGTCATCCCTACAGGTTAAAGTTGCAATTTCATATTTTTAAGTTATATTTTTAAAATTTATTAAAATAAAGCTTAAAATAGATGGTATCTATAAACAGTCCTACCTTGTTAAAGAATAATCCTATTAATCCTATAATTCACTATTGCCAGCTGAGAAATTGGCAAAAATATCATTTTCAACTTCAAATTCCAACATTTGAAGATGGCTAATGCATGGAGGCAATAGGAAAACAAGGGAGGTAATTGTGTTATTATTTCCTGTGTCATTGATTTTTAAGGGTGGGAAATAATGCCCATGGTCGTATAATAGTGAGTTGATAACCTAGATTGAGCAAAAGACATGAAATAATTATGTTTTGATTTTCTTAGAAAATATGAAATTCTCGCTTTAAATACAGTTGTTTCACTGTGCTTGGTACATTGTACGCAAACGATACTCTTTCAACATAGGCTACAGTCTTTATACATTCCATACTTAATGCTTTGCAATAAATATCGCTCAGTTTTTAATTGTTCAGTTTTTAGAAATTCCTTAAATGAAATGGAGTTGAACGTCACACTCTTTTCTGCACTAACTAATGAAGACAGACATACTCCATGTAGTGTGCTATGGGGGACATTTTGACAGAACAGCAGCAATTCCGCCCACTCTTCATCGAATTCAAAACGGTTTTTTTAACATGACACGACCATAATCAAACTCGATGCCATCGTATGCTCGAGATTTTAACTATATTAGAATGGTTTGGCCATTTTCTCCATTAATTTAAAAATGGAGAAGTGAGGCTAAGACTCAAATATACTAGTACCGTGGTTATGATAACAAACGATCAAAGCATACATCTTGTCAAAACTACAAACAGCGATAATGTGGCTCAGCATAAAGTACTTTGAATGAAATTTTCAATATATTCTTTCTGCATTATTTATTTTTGAAGTATTATAGCAAGAACTTCCAGCTCTTTATCCAAATCTTACATAAGGTCACACCTGTGTATATGTGTATAGGCTACCTAATGAATCTATTCAATAGAACGCTGCTCAATAAAACACTTAAAACACCGAGAGAACCAAAACAGTCATATTGCCATCAAAATTCTGGAGTCATGATCTGTCTAAAACTATCGATATACCTTACACGCACCCAGAGGTCAATTAGGGACCATCATGGTAAATCGTTCTTTCCTTACCAGTATTTTATAGATTAGCTCACAGTGACAGCAGTATTTCCTCAATCCTATCTTCTATATGTAAGTTAATACTCTGATTCAATT